TCATAATGAGTATCTGGACGGAGAAAAGTACAAAGAAAAGTCTTTTGTAGCCATAATTTCCATTGATTTAGCAATTCCATATAATCTCTAAAACACAACAAACTTTTTCTTCTTAAATTGTTGACGTCTTCAGAATCACTTTAAAAGGTGGGGGGTTTTAATTAAGAAAAATTAATTTTTTCAAACATTGCTCTTTCCAATAATTCCGAAGATTTTATTCCAATAAGGGAAGTATCATTAATAAATCGACAGCCTTGAAAACAATTTCCAATTGATAAAAGAAGTGTTGTTGTTTGAATATCAAATGACATATCCAAATAACTTTAAATTAAAAAAAATTTTCTTGATTAATCACAAATAAATTTTAAAAAATGAATTCTTGTCTTAGGTATTTTTATTTTTAAGATCTAGAATATCAACGCAGAAATGAGACTTTCCGCGTTTCCATGGTTCGAGTCAAGAGATGTCACGGATTACCTTAAACCAGATCCGAAAAATTATCAAAACCAAACCCAAAAGCTAGCCAACTTTTTACTCCACTAGTGTTATCCCTTTTGATTTCTGTCCTCCAAAATTTTTTAAAAAATTTCCGAGTCCCAAGTCACGCTAATTCCAAGTTCCTACACTCCCAATTGTTTAGACCCTCTTTTTACTAATTAATTTTCCCAAAATTCTCCTTTTTAAATTCAACGGGATCAAAAAATCTTTTAGAACTTAAAAATAAACCGATGTAAAACCATATGAGAAACAGGATCATCTTTTAATCCAACAATAAATAAAGCACTTAGAGGGCATAAAGACAAAAGTTCATTTGTAAGTTTATCCAACGCAGAATTTAAAAAATCGTCATCCATGTGAAGTACAGCAAATGCTAATTTATCTTCTAATCGAATATTCTTTAAAAAATAAAAAAATATTTTGATAAATCTTTAGCGTTAATACACGATCCAAAATGAATTAAAAAAAATTTTTTTTGGCCTACAGCCTTCTGAAATTCTCAAAATTTTTGCCTGCAGCGCTAAAAATCAAAAATAGAAAAATTTCCCCCTTGACTCTCTCCCGAAAAAAAATTCTACCAACGGGCCTGCTCGAAATCATCTTATAGAGAGAATGAAAAGGTTTATTTATATAATTAACACCTAGTAATTTTTATAAAAAAATATTTAAAAGAAACTTACACTCTCAAATATTTCATTATAAATTTTATTGTAAATTTTGTCACGTCTAGCAAGAAACTTTTAAATTTAGAAAATTTTAAAAATAAAAAAAATCAAAATATAACTAACTTTAACAATAGCAAGTAAATAAACATCATCACTCAATTCTTCACAAACATTTTCATAATTTGGTACTCTAACACCATCATAACGTTGAAATATATTTAAAATAATATCTTTAAAAAATCTGATTTATTTAATAAAAAAAAAATAAAATTTACCAGCCATTTTTTGATAAGAATTTACAATTTCAGGTTCTCGATTTTCAATAAATTCGGGAGAGTTTACACGCTCATTAAATTCTTTTAAATACTGAAAAAGAATTTTTATAAGGGTTTTTTAATTTTATAATAAAATAAAAATTTCGAACCTCACTATAAAACACCCCGTCAGGTTTGAAAAACCTCTCACCCTAACCCGTGGTCAAATAAATTTTACAAAAAATGTCCCTAGCTACCAGGGGCGTAGCCAGGGGGGAGCTGAAGCCCCCCCCCCCCCCCCCGAAATGGGAGAAAGGGGGAAAAATTAAGAGAAGATGGTCGAAAAAGTGAAATTTTTTCGCCTACAACCCTCTAATTTAAAAAAATTTTCGCCTGCGGCGCAGAAAAGATGAAAATTTATGTACAAAAAATTGCGTCCGGAACGCCAAGGTAAACGCCAAAAATTTGGCGCCCACCCAGTGTTAGCCCCCCCCCCCCCCCCCCGAAATCGACCCCCTGGATACGCCTTTGCCTTATAATGATGTCCCCGTTTATACATTTTAATTCAAAAAAACCTCCAAACAAAGCATTCCCTGCACACAAAATAAAGCTATCGCAGCAACCCTAGCAATTTCTTCAACATGTCCACTTGCAGACAAATCATCCAATACAACTTTACATTCTTCTCTGTCACTATAATTTGGCCAATTACACATTCGAAGAACTTTAAGGCGAGAATCGTTAATAAATAACTGAAAAAAGAAAATTTTTTTTGAAATTTATAATGAAAAATACACGATTTCTAAATGTAATTTCATCATGTTTAATAGTTGAGGTTGCTTTTGCTCCGGTAAGTATATGCCTAACACCAACAAAGCTTGAAAAAAAATTTTTTTTTGAAAATTTTCTAAAAAAAATTTCTAAAAAAATTTCAAAAAAATTTCTTGAAAAAGTTTGTGAGGCTTGAAAAAATCAAAAAAAATTTTCTTACATAGTTCCATAATTTTTATGCATTTCACCAGCATCAGGAGAATTAAACATTGAATATATCCAATGCCAACAAAAACGGAGATCATCATCCGCAAATTTATCTTTTTCAATAATTTTGAGAGAAGAGTCGATTAAAGCTTAAAAAATTTTTTTTAAATTAAAGTTCTCAAATATTTCCTTACTTTGTGTACAACTTAAAGTATTTCCATAACCATATCCATCTATAGCCCTTTGTTTTAAAATTTTAACTTTGTCTTCATTTAAAGGAATATTATGAAATCCATTTTCGAATTTTAATCGTCTACCAGTAATTAAAGCAAATTCGTTATCACAAGCAATGGCTGTAGAAACATCTTCTCGATGCTAAAATGAAATGAAAAATTTTATTTAAATTTTTAAAGAAACCTTAATTATCGCGAGATCCTTTGTTAATTCAGCCATATTAAATTTAGAAGAAAGAAAAACAATAGAATCAGCAATATGTGGATGCCAATCGAATGAACCTAATTTTGGAATACCTGGAACCTGCAAAAATTAATTTAAAAATAAAATTGAGAAAAGAAAATTTATTAAGAAATATTTAGGCCTGAAAGGATTCGAACTTTGTTGAAATTTAATAAATTATTAGGTAAAATCAAGAACTGTTACACTTAACCAAAGTGACAACAACAACACAATATATAATAAAACATTAAATTATTTCTCAAAACATTTTTTACAAATTGTAAAACAGGCGGAATTATTTTTACAATTACCTTTGGTTGCTTAAACTCTTTAGTTAAGTGCAAACTTTCTAGTCTTTTATTTTTAATTTTATAAAAATCATCAAGGTTCGAATCCTTTCATTCCAAAAATGCTTCTTTTAAGTATATTTTCCTTTTCTTTAAGAAAAAATTTTTTCCAAAATATTTTTAAGGGTAAATTAAATTTTTTTCTGAAGTGAAAGGGTTCGAACTTTGGGGTGGTTTTCCAGAAAAATTTTCAAAATTAAAATGAGGGGGGGGGGGAGGTCGGGGGTCTCCAACCCATTTTTAAAATTAAATTAGAAAATTATTTTTTTAAATTTTCTTACATAAAATAGTTTACTTCCATAAGCATATCCAGCCATTTCACTTCTCGGGCTAGTATTATTATTATTGTTGTTGTTGCTATTCTTTTGTGGTTGTTCATTAATTATTTCACATTTTTCTTGTTGTATAAAAGCATTTTTTGAAATAGAAAAACTATAAAAATTTCCAGAATCTTTTGCAATTAAAGAAATATTAAAACTTCTTTTTGGATGCCAACTAATTTTATTTATTATTTTATTTGATGACTAGAAGAAATTTAAAAAAATTTTTTTAATTTTGCCTTAAAAATAAAAACATACACAAGCTTCAATTGCATGTACTGGAGAATAATTTAAATATCTTCTATCATAAATATATAAATAATTTCTTGAATGACATGCAAAAAGGTGTCCAGCTGTAGGTTCACTACAAACACCCATCTTATATTTAAAAATAAAAATTTTGTATTAAAAAATTTTTTGCGGATTAACATTTGCGGACAAAAAAATTTTTGCGGACAAAAAATTTCTAACTAAAAAACGTTGCGGATAAACCCATAAGCGCAGGACAAACATCAAAAATTACCAAGACACCTTGTAAAGACAAAATGAAAAATAAAAATTCTGTCCGGAAACTAGATGTTTGTCCGCAAAAAATTTCTAGTCCGCAAAATTTAGAAAATAACATAAAATACAAACCAAGGATGTTTGAACGCCCAAAACACTTTGAAAATTTCCATGTTCACGAATATCTGCTATTCTTAGCCCTCTACTTCCACTAATTAATAACAAATTTGGTTCATCCCTTTAGAAAATATTTTTAAAAAATAAAAATTAAATTTCAAAAAAACTTTAGCCAAGAAATTCCAGCAATTTTTTCCGCCAAATTTAATTCAAAAATAGAAACGCATTGCTCTCTTGGGTGTTGTCTCAATAATTTGTATAAATCGTATACAATGACAGAATAATCTGCCCCTCTACCACTAAAATAAAATTCAATTTTAAAAGCAGTATTACATTATAAAATGCATCCAATACTAGATATACCTCAGTTTAAGAGAAAATAATTTTGTTATAAAATATGTAACCTTGAGGTTGAGACTATGGTTTAAGAGACGTTTTTCTAAAACATCGTTGTCCACAAAGTAGAGTTGTCTAAACGATACCCTCTATTTAATGTACTCCACTCTATGTACCTAGGGGTATAGATTACCCGTCTACCTCTATTTTCTAGAATTTGGAGCACTCCCTTAAGTCGAAGAGTTGTCTAATTGTAAGATGTTATAAGGATGTGACGACCTCAGGGAAGGTAAGAATGATGTGGAAGGATCTAGGTAAGAAAAATTCCAAGAGATACATATGTGCCTTCGATTGACATGAGTATACCCCCATCATTACAAGAGACCATTTTCTCAACCCCAAGGAGTAGCTTATTAACAAAATTATTTTTCAGAAAATTAAAAAAAATATTCCACTAACCGTTCATAAGCAACACAAATTTTATTTATATCAACATAACTCCACTGCATACAAGAAATACTTTTGGATGTATCATTAAAGTCTTTTGCACGCCTTTAAAATAATTTAATTGAAATTTAGAAAACTTTAACCTCAATGTTTGATCATTCTCTGCAGAAAATATACTTACTCTTCCAGTAGAATAACCCAAAGCCAAATACGAATCAGGTGAGTGGTCCAACGCAAAGGTACGAAGTGTGTCCTTTAAAAAAAGAGATTTAGGGAATATTTTTACAAGGAAAAAAATCAAAATAAGGATGTTGTAGGAAGGATGTGACGGCCTCAAGGAAGCAAAGAAGGGTGAGGAAGAATTTAGAGAATCCAAGAAAGGACCCGAAATCGAAGAAATTATAAGACGAAAATATTTATTTTTGCTATTAGACATTAAAATATTTTTCAAATTCGAACACGACCTTTTCAAAGTCCACCAGAGACTTGTAGCTAAAAAATCGAAAACAAGGGACCCGCATAGTCGGAAAATTCTAACCCCGAGATTAACAAAAGGACATTTAAGAAATAAGTTATTGCCAGGCCATCGGAAAAATAAAAAATTCCGGTCACCAAAAACTCCAAAAATAAATTATCTAAAAAAAACCTGTTCTTGTTTAGTCACTGCACAAGTATTTAATTGTCTAATAGGATTTAATTTATTATTTATATCGCCATTATTAAATTCATTTTTGTCTTCAACAACACGGCAAAGGCTAAACATTTCTTGGTCTATAACAAATAATTTGTTCGAATTTGAATTTAGCCATTTGACTGCTGGAAGCATTTTCTTATTCTACTTTAAAAAATTTTAGAACAAATTTTTCAATGAAAAAAATTAAAAAAATATATTAAACAAGCAAAAATATTTTTTTAAAAAATTAAAAAAATAATAAAAAATTTTAAACAAAAAAAAATTTTAAATTACAAAACATTCAAAAAAAAATAAATTAAATAAAAAATAATATCAAAAGAAATTTTTTTCAAAAAATATTTTTTGAACGTATCTGTGTCTCAATCCAAAAACAGTAATAGACATCTAAACAGTTCAAAATAATGACATTTTTCTATTTAAAAATTTTAAACCCTTTCTCAACCCTAATTTTAGATTAAAAACACCGGGAATATTCCTAAAATAAATCGAAAAAAATTTTTTCAAGAAAGATTGGTCATTGAACTTTTTAAAACAGTTTCAGGCAAATAATTATCAAAAAAACTTTGGCACACCTCCGTCATCAATTGTGTCGCAGAAAGTATCCATTCACCAACAACTCTAGCTGGATTGCCTTCGACAATTGAAAATCTTTGAAAAAAATTTTAAAAAAATTATGGAAAATTTATTTGTAGAACAACAAATAAAAAAAATCTCTAGAAATTTTTTTATATTTGTTTGTGATAACGTTTAAATGATGTGATAGTTTGAAACCTGACAATGAGACAGTGTTTTATGGCCATAAAGCTAGAGACTTTTTTGTTGGAGAATCCCAAAAATTTTTTTTTAATTTTTAAAAGTCAGAAGAAACACATGACAGCCCAAAAAAGCACCAAAAATCTTAAACAATGTTACAAAATTTAAAAATAGTCCCTAAACCCACAAATAGACTCCACTAAGCTCATAGATTTTTTTTAAAAATTAAAAATAAATTTACGGTGGAATGATTGTATCAGGAGAAATAACACTATTAGCTTTTATGTAGCAGCAATCTTTGATCACACAGCTTTGTCCAATAATACAGCCTTCGCCAATGTGGATATAATGGCCAATATAGACTGCTTCAATTACACAATTCTAAAAAATTAAAAAAATTTTGTTTGAAGGGAACCATTAAATTCTATCAATAACATATTCAGGGAGGTATTAAAAGACTACGGCCCTCACGAAGTGGAAAAAAGAGAGGAATCGTCTGAAAGACTAATCGAAAATGAAAAAGATATTTAAATAAGATACTGAATAAATTTTTAAAATTTCTCAAAAAATTTTTTCCGAATCTGGAAAAATCGTTACTCAAGTTCTTTCATTTTCCCAAACAGAAAAACTACTATAACCACTAACACTAAAAAATTTTTTCTAAATAAGCCCTTCCAACCAATAAATTATAAATCTCAAAAATCCCTTGAAAAATCTATAAGGTAAACTTTTAAATAAAATTAATAAAATTTAAAACCTTTTCAATAAATACATAATCACCAAAATGTACAGGGAAGAAAACAAGTCCATTACTTGAATTTAAAAAAAAAATTAAATTTATTAAAACTTAAAAAAACCTGAAGCATTTACTTGGAGGCCTAACAATAGTTCCCTAAATATTAAAAAATATTTAAACACATTTTTAGATTAGAATAACCTCTTGAAGCACACAATATTTTCCATGACGTATTTGAGCTTAAAATAACAAAATTTTAAAAATTATTTTAATACAGTTGAACCTCAAAGTACCTTGGGATTAGGTACCTTGACTCACCCATTGGGCTTAAAAATCAAAACTTATGAGGTGTATTTTAAATAGAGGGTATCATCTGAACAACACTTCCCCGCTCCAACCAAACTTCAAAGGAAAACGTATCTTAAATTGACCAGATTTTTGGAGTTTGGTATTTCGGCGGTTTTTGGGAGGTCTGTTATTCATCGAATGGCATTACACCAGTTCCCATATGTCACCCCTTCCCCACTGGCCCACCAAATTTTATAGTAACACGTTTCCTAATTAGATGTGTATCTTAAACTGAGGTTCGGCTGTATTGATAAAAAAACAACCTAAATCTCCTCTCAGCAACACATCCCTCATCACAATTGTCTAAATTTAAACAAAATTACAAATTAATTTTATAAAAAAATAACCCACATATCCACTCAATCTAATATTTTGTGTTCCATAGGTTTTTGCTTTTCTGCTAATTTTGTTGCCTTGACTTGTTATTACAATTTCTGATTGATCATATAAAACAACTCCAAGTTCCATCTTTTCTTTTCTTCTATAAAAATTAGAACTGAAAATGTCTAAAGAAAAGTTTAAAAAAATAAAAAATCAAATAATAAATTGTTCAAAACAATATTAACAAATTTACAGACGACAAAATCACTAATTAGCTTTTGGCATTATTATTCATATTAAAAAAAGGAAAAACAATTCGGCAAAATAAAAAAAATATATTAAATAACTTATTAGAAATATTAATATTTTTAAGCGACTGAACCAAAAATATCATTATAACGAACACAACTTGCTCCTCTTTCCATATATTCAGCTTTTGTGTGGGCAGCATTGTAAAATTCAGGCTAATTTGAATTTAAATTCGAAAAAATAAAAATTAATTACCAATGCAGCATACATAGAACCACCAAACCAAACAGCATAACGTTGTCGTTTGTGTGAAATAACTTGGACATCAATACTTTTTGGCTGAAAAATAATTTTTTGCTGTTTTCCTCATAGCAAAAGCAAAACAAACAAATAAAAATTTAATATACCTTAACTTTACCGCCAGACGATTGCTCACTTAACAATAAACGCTGATCAGACATTTTCTTTAAATCTCTTTGAAGACGACGATCAAAGTCCTTCAAAGGATTCAAAAAATATTTTTCAAAAAAAGAAACCTTAAACATTGTAGAACCTCCAGACAAAACAATATTTTCATATAAACCACGTCTAACGTCAATTGGGCATTGTTGGATTACTTGATCAACAATATCAGAAATTGAAGTTACATAGTCCGAGCTAACAAACTACAAACAAAAATTTAATTAAAAATGTTGGGGCTGGGAAAAACATGCAAATAGAATAATAATTTATAAAAAATACTTCTGGATGAAAGAAAATCTCAGGTCCAAGAAATCGTTCATGGCCAACATCAACGGTAAAAGGCTGTTTAGTCACATTATTAAGACCATGGTAACATTGAACAAATTTATCCGGTTCAGTATCATATTTGACAAATTCTTTTTGTATGTTAGGGCAAACATAACAATATCTTTCCTGAAAAAATTCAGATTTCAAAGATAAATAGAAAAAACCAACCTTTATAGCTTTGGCCACTTCATATGATTGTTCACTTGGAATTCCTGTCTCTCGTTCACGTTGTAACTTTATAACAAAAAATAAAAATTTATGATAATAAAATTAAAAAACCTGTTGTATAAAATATGTAATATCCCTCCCAGCAATAGGGACATGTTTAATACAGGAGCCAATAACAAAACCTTCAGAAATTGGTACACAATGAGTAACACCATCTCCACTATCAATTACCTTTTAAATTTTTCAAAAATTATTACAAAAATATTTTTTAAAACCAATCCAGTCAAGGCACTTCTATCAAATGGTTTATCTTGCCATGAAGCAGAAAGCGCCAAAACTGCTTGCACAGCTATAAGTAGACCAGGAACATTGAAGGATTCAAACATAACCTCTGCTGTATATTCTCTATTTTCTGGGGTATTTAATGGAGGTTCTGTCTGAAAAATGAATTTAATGTTCATATAGAGATCTCAACAAGAAAAAATTAACCATAAGAAAATAGTGATCCTCTGGTTCTGCTCTCAAATATTTAAATATACATTGCTCCCAAAAACGTTCCATCAAGTCCCAATCATCGACCATTCCATGTCTTATAGGGTGCTAAATTATTTTGATTTTAAATACAAATAAAAGTGTCAAGCAGAAAGAGGGCAAGAGAAGAAGGGACCTTTAATCCCAAAAATAAAACTTAAGGCAATATTCGGTAATATTGAAGAGTATGGGCCCCATTTTTTCCTCCCTATTTTCCCCCTTATATTTTTACAAAATGGTCAGACTTTTTCCTTCATCCCATCCAACTTGCCTTTATAATTTTTGCCTTGAAACAAAGAAAAAGGATTATTTTTGATATTTTATTTCCCGTTTTAATAGAGAAAATAAGTCTTCTCAGAACTCATACTTGTTAAATACCAAAAAATAATCCTTTTTGTTTAGTTGTAGGCAAAAATTATAAAGGCAAGCTGGATGGAAGGAAGGAAAAAGTCTGAACATTTTGTAAAATTATAGGGGGAAAAATAGGGAGGAAAAAATGGGGCCCATACTCTTCAATATTACCCAATATTCCCGTGTATTCAAAAAATAAAATAAAGAAAAACCTTAACAAAATAGTTTGCAGCAGCTGGAGACAAAGCCTCATCTCCAATGAAAAAGTCTAAATCATCAATTTTCCCCATTCCACCACCACTACTTTTTGCAGTCACCGCATCTCTAATGGCAATAGTTGAGGGAATAATAAATTGGGGTTCACTATTTCCGGCATATCCAAGTTTAGTATAGCTAAAAAGAAAATTAGTCAAAAATTCCAAAGAAATTTAAAATACCCTGTTCCACAATCAATCACCACAGGAGGTAAATGCATTTATGAGGTTGTTATTCCTGTCAAAATTAAAAAAACGGATAAATTAGAATAGGGAATAAAAATTTTTTTGGCAAATTATTCAACCAATATAAAGGTTAAATAAAATTAACAAAAGGACAATTAAAAATAGTCAGGCCATTGAAAAAAAAATAAAAATTTTTGGTAAACAAAACTATAAAAATTAAAAAAACCTGTTCTTGTTTACAATTAGTCACTGCGCAAGTATTTAATTGTTTAATTTATTAATTACATCCCCAAGTAGTTAGTCCAACGCCCCCCATTGTCAAGGGCAGAGGGGTCCGCACCTTTAACAACACCAGTTGAAGGAATAATAAATTGAGGTTCACTATAACCGGCATATCCAAGTTTTGTGTATCTAAAAGAGAACAGAATAATTTTTAAAAAAAATTTAAAAATACCTTGTCCCACAATCAATCACTACAGGAGGTAAATCCATCTTAAAGCTTGTTACCTTTCTCTACTTAAAAAATAAAAAAAAATTGGTAAAAAAATTAAATTAACAAAAATTAACGAAAAAAATTTTTTTGTTGGTAAATTAAATATTAGACCAATCTATAGACTTCAAAATCACTAATTAACTTTTGGCATTATTATTCATATTAAAAAAAGGAAAAATTCGGCAAAATAAAAAAGAATATATTAAATAACTTATTAAAATATTAATAAACATTTTTAAGCGACTGAACCAAAAATATCATTATAACGAACACAACTTGCTCCTCTTTCCATATATTCAGCTTTTGTGTGGGCAGCATTGTAAAATTCAGGCTAATTTGAATTTAAATTAGAAAAAATATAAAAATCATTTACCAAAGCAGCATACATAGAACCACCAAACCAAACAGCATAACGTTGTCGTTTGTGTGAAATTACTTGGACATCTATATTTTTTGGCTGAAAAAAAAAGATAAAATATTAAAATCTTTCCAAGGGAACGTCAAATGCCGGAATACCAAACCTCCAAAAGCTATCAAAATACCAAAAAGTAGAAAAATAAAAAGTGGAAGGATGTTTTATCATAAGTGAAGGTTACTACATTAACGTGAAAGATTGATAAAAATCCTCATTTTGGAAGTTTCGGCATGACTTTTGAAGGGGCTATTTCGGCGTTAATTTTTAATATTCTTTTAAAAAATTAAATAATAACCTTAACTTTACCACCAGACAATTGCTCACTTAACATTAAACGCTGATCTGTCGCTTTTTTTAAATCTCTTTGAAGACGACGCCCAAAGTCCTTTTAAAAGTAAAAATAATCATCCTCTTATCTTTCCAAAGAAAACCTTAAACATTGTAGACCCTCCAGACAAAACAATATTTTCATATAAACCACGTCTAACATCAATTGGGCATTGCTGGATTACTTGATCAACAGACTCAGAAATTGAAGTTACATAGTCCGAGCTAACAAACTACAAACAAAAATTTAATCAAAAATGTTAAGGCTGGAAAAAACATGCAAAATTGGTAGTTCGAATCCTAGTTGGCGAGTTGCCCTTTCCAACACGAGGAAAATAAATACCCGCCAGGATACAACATGAAAAAAGGGACTAAACTACCACCACTGAATATTTTTCTCACAATCAATTCTAATAAAAATTTATAAAAAAATACTTCTGGATGAAAGAAAATTTCAGGTCCAAGAAATCGTTCATGTCCAACATCAACAGTAAAAGGTTTTTTAGTTACATTGTTAAGACCATGATAGCATTGAACAAATTTATCCGGTTCTGTGTCATATTTGACAAATTCTTTTTGTATGTTAGGGCAAACATAACAATATCTTTCCTGAAAAAGTCAATAAAGAATAGAAAATACATATCTTTTCAACCTTTATAGCTTTAGCAACTTCATAAGATTGTTCACTTGGAATTCCTGATTCTCTTTCACGTTGCAACTTTATAGTAACAAATAAAAATGGTATAATCCTGCCGTTTAAGGGCCGTCGTTCTCTGACCATTATAAACATATCTCAGGTTCCAAATTTCAATTGACCCAAATTATACTTGTGAAAATGTTATGAAACGACAAAGTATTAATTTGAGTGATAGAAAAAAAATAAAGTACACTGGCCTAATAATGGTCAGAGTCCTGTGGCCTCCTTAAACGACAGAAGTGCCCATTCACATTCTAACAAAAATTAAATTAAAAAAACCTGCTGTATAAAATAAGTAATATCCCTGCCAGCAATTGGAACGTGTTTTATACAAGAGCCAATAACAAAACCTTCAGCAATTGGTATACAATGAGTAACACCATCTCCACTATCAATTACCTTTTAAATTTTTACTTTTTTAATAACAAAAATATTTAAAGAAACCAATCCAGTTAAAGAACGCCCATCAATTGGTTTTTCATACCAAGATGCAGAAAGCGCCAAAACTGCTTGTACAGCTATAAGTAGACCAGGAACATTGAAGGATTCAAACATAACCTCAGCTGTATATTCTCTATTTTCTGGAGTATTTAATGGAGGTTCTGTCTGTAAAATTAATTTAATGTACATATAAAAATCTCAACAAGAAAAAAATAACCATAAGGAAATAATGATCTTCAGGTTCTGCTCTCAAATATTTAAATATACATTGCTCCCAAAAACGTTCCATCAAGTCCCAATCATCAACCATTCCATGTCTTATAGGATGCTGAAATATTTAATTTTAATAATTTTATGAAAAAATGCAAATGGAAGGGTCATAATTTCGGTCTTTATCTTAGAAAAAAGCAGAGAGTCCGCAAAAAAGTTGTCCGCACTTACAGATAAAAAAGGTACCAAAAATTAAAATAGACAAGACACTTTCGTCATAAACTGAAACTTAAGCTCTTATTCAAAAAATAAAGAAAAACCTTAACAAAGTAGTTCGCAGCAGCTGGAGACAAAGCCTCATCTCCAATGAAAAAGTCTAAATCATCAATTTTCCCCATTCCACCACCACTACTTTTTGCAGTCACCGCATCTCTAATGGCAATAGTTGAGGGAATAATAAATTGGGGTTCACTATTTCCGGCATATCCAAGTTTAGTATAGCTAAAAGATAAAACAAGAAAAATTGAATTTGGATGATTTGACTTTGACAAACAAGCAAAAAATTTAATTTTTCTAAAATGTTCGAAGGGCACCCTTCAGTTGTTCCGAAATTAAAATCCAAATTCATTTTGTCAAAGATTTTTTAAGAAAATTTAAAAATAAATACCCTGTTCCACAATCAATCACCACAGGAGGTAAATGCATTTAACAGGTTGGTTATTTCTGTCAAAATTCAAAAAATGAATAAATAAAAAATAAAAAAATTTTTTTGGCAAATTAACCAACATAAAGACAACAAAAATTATTTTAAAAAATATTTTTAAAAATGCAAAAAATATTTGAATAAACAACCAAATTTTAAACAAAAAAATAATTTATCTTTTAATTTCCGGCTTTACATGTTGATATGCTGCACTTGTTGAAGGCTTGCTTGGACTCGCAGTTGTTGCCATTGCTGACGTCTTGGGCTAAAATTTTTTAAAATTTTTACAGAAAATCTAAAAAAAACCTGAATTCCTTTTCCAAGACAAACAGCTTTAACCAATTTCATCGTCTCTTCATGTGACGATTGTTGAAATTCTTTGCGGTCCAAGACATGTAGACGACTAAATTCACTTAATTTACTGCATAGCATGTCAACATGTGCATTAATAGATCTTATCTGTCAAAAAAACTTATTTTAAATTTTAGAACAGTTTACTTCAGGGCTCTCATTCGTGCTTTATTTGAAAGTATTATACTTTGAAACCGACCTCCATACTTAAGAAATTGAATTTATACTTTATTGAAAGTATATACTTTAAAATCAACATTTTGGATTGAAAATGAAATTGGGGAAGGGATTGGGCAAAAAAGTGAATTTTTTTAGCCTTGGGCCTTCGAAATTATCAAAATTTTCGCCTGCGGCGCTGAAAAAGAAAGAAATCTGGCTTCTTGGGCTCCAAATTTCAAAAAATTTTCGCCTGCGGCGCTGAAAATGGGAGAAATCTGACTACTTGGGCTCCAAATTTCAAAAAATTTTCGCCTGCGGCGCTGAAAATGGACGAAAGCTTGAGGTTAAGACTGTCAGGGCTTTATTTCTTGTATCAGCGAATTTTGACATGTCATGCGTTGAAATGCACAAAATGCCCAATGGAAGCAAGAAATTATTAGAAAAGATTCATTTAAGAGAGAAATATAAAAGATTTGAGCACGAACAAATATTTTCCAATTTAATTTTGAGTATACTTTAAATTTGGAAATTTTCTCCCTATATACTTTTTTATCAAGATTTTGATACTTTTGAGTGGCATTTTGTCGATGAGAGCCCTGGTTTACTTCATTACGTTCATGTGGAAACCCTCCCAGTGTGGAAACCCTCCCAGGACCGGACCGAATTATTTTTTTCTGTTTGGTTCCAGATAGAAAAGTGAAGATGCCGGGGCCGATGTTCCCTCTAAATTCGGTTGAATCGCAGAAAAGAGATGTGGGGTTGAGGAGTCGAAGATTTCGCAAGCACCGACACCATTAGTCGACAGAATTACATAAAAAAACTCACTTGTTTATTAACATCAATTTGTTTGGAAAGTCTATCCCTATCAATACTAATCTCTTCATCTTCAACATCAGGTTTCAATTTAGTCCTCAACAGAATTGGAACAATATTGTGATCAAAAGTAGATAGACGGCCTTCTGTTATCTCCTTAAACATCAAATATACTACATTATTCCTCTTTAAGAATAGTGACCGACATAATCGTATTTGCGGGAGTAACTTCTAAAAACGTCTGCGGTACGGGATCCCGCGGATTCCGTCCCGCGGTGTCCCTCAAAATCCCGATCGGGATCCCGTCCCGCGCCGGCCACTACTTAAAAATATAAACCTGTAAAGTATTGTCATGTTCAAGAGAAACAATTTGAGGAACTAGTTGAGTCATTTTCAATAATTTAGCATTATCATCAAAATCAATTCCTGGTTTGCGTAAAATTTGTTCCAATTTAGAAAATGTGCTGGAGAGAGAACAAAATTTTTGAACAATATCAGACCAATCACATTTCCCTCCTTGTTCTTGGAGATCTAGGGAATATAAAAGATCACAAACTGTAGCGTTGACTTGCTGGATTTTCCCTTCAATTTCTGTTGTCAAATCTTTGATTTTTTGTTGAGCAATACTTTGGTCCATTTCTTAAAACTAAAAAGGAAACAAAAAAATTTAAAAAAATTCAATCAAAAATGAATCATTCAATGTTTCAAAAATTCGCAAATTAAAATATTTCCTTTTTGGCATTCTGTTTATAAACAAATTAAAAATGACTTTATGTCCTACTGAAGAAATTTTACTGACGAGAGAACAAATTAGAGAAAAAGAGAGAATGAGACATTTTATTAGGGACGGTTAAGGACGATTCAGTATCGCCGATTCATTATAGCCGATTCAGTATCGCCGATTCAGTATCCGCCGATTCAGTATATGGCCATAACTTTCCTGATATTCGACCGATTCGAATAATTCTCATATCATACGAAAGGTCTCATGATTCGGCATCTTTTTCATAATTGGCCCAATTTGATCTAATCAACTCATAAAAAGTTACAGACGGAAAACTGATTTTTTCTGCTTGCGACGTCGTTTATCAGTGATAACTTTTTGTAAAATGCTCAGATCAAATCAGTCCAATTGTGAAAAAGATGCAGCACCCCGAGGCCTATCAAATCATATATAATAATTCCTACAATATTGATCGAGGAAAAAGTTATGGCCAAAAAGCCCAGATACTGAATCGGCCAATACTGAATCGGCGATACTGAATTGGCGATACTGAATCGGCGATACTGAATCGTCCCCTACCCTATTAGGGAACGCCCAAAACGGCGCGAAGCCATAACGGCGCAAAGCCATAACTTGCTTCAAGATTTTCGAATCTAATCAAATTTAGTATCAAACGATTCCTCTCATCGAGCTAAAGAGATTGGTACCAAAATTGATAAGGGCATAAAATTTTCCAGCAAGTTGTGGCTTTGCGCCGTTATGGCCGCGCGCCGTTTTGGGCGATCTCATTCTTTTCATTTCTCGGCTAGTTTTTTAATTTTTATTTGCTTTTATCTTAAATTTTAGGCAGTATTTTTATTGAAAATTTATTTAAAAATCTAAAAATGTCCAAAAATCCTCCTTCTGCTGCCACCAACAACAACCACGTTGAAGATGACGATGTTGACAATGTCAAAAAAGTGCCCAAAGAAGATGCTCAAGCTGATAAACAGGCTGCTGCGGATTTGGAAAAGGTTTAATTTTTCTTTCTAATTTTTCCAAGAATTCTATTAAAAAGGTCACCGACTTCCACGAAGATAGAGAAGCTGTCAGTGAGATTTCTAGAGAGTCTTTGGGAAATTTGAAGATGGCACAACCTGAGCAGAAAAATTTTACTATTAAGAGGGACGATATTCAGCTTATTGTTTGTATTTTTTTAAATTAATTTTTTCAATTAAAAATTTTCTTTTAAGATGCAAGAATTGGAAGTCCCCAGAATTGTTGCTGAAGCAAAATTGATTCAATATGAGGGGGATTTGAGAGCGGCAATTTTGGATTTGATTGATTGCAATTCTTTGTTGAAATAGAAAAAAATATATATTTTTTGGTTTTATTGTATTATTTTTAGTGTTATTTTTGCATTAGATTAAGTCACAGTCAAAAAATGCCTGGATTCTGGGTACAGGAAAACCCAGGTCTTTGTCCAGACCCAGGCCGATCTAAAAAATGCCTGGGCCTAGACTCTGGGTCTCAAAAAAAGTCACACTACACATAGAGGCGTATAATTTTATTTTATTTGAGGGGGAAGGGTATTTTAGATTAATAGAATCTTTGAGCTTTTTGAAGGGTATTGAGAAAATCTAATGTAAATTAATCTGTTTTGTTTTATTATAAATATTTTTATATAGTAAATTTTGTGGAGTAAAAGAATGAAAATATTTTTTTTACAATTTTTTGGTAATTAACCAAGTTTTGTCTCCTCATCCAATTTGTTCTCCCCTCCCCCCCCTTTTTTTTATTTGCTATTTTTCTTGCTGTTCCTTTAAGTCTAAATTGGGACCGAAACCGGTTATTACCTCATTTTTAGGAAAAAATTTTATTAAAAAAATTTAAATAAAAAAACAAAAATATTTTTTATTCACTGAATATATTTTTCTTATTTTCCTCATCAACTTGAAAATTATTTGTTATTGTTAAGGGGGAAGGTTGATTAAATAAAACGGGCAATGGAAACCATCGACGCCTGTATAAAAATGAAAGTTTAAATTCTGATTTTATTTTACAATTATTTTTTAACCAACAAAAATTCTTATTTTTAAAGGAAAATTTTGATGAATAATTTACAATTGTAAATTCTGATTTTTTAAAAAATTTTTGTAAAAATTTTCTGATTTTTTATTCTGGTTTCTTACGAAAATTCTGATTTTCCAGAAAATTCTGATTTTTTTTAAAAATTCTGATTTTTTTTTAATTTTGATTTTCCAGAAAATTCTGATTTTTTTTTTAAATTCTGATTTCTTTCAAAAATTCTAACTTTTAAAATTCTGATTTTCAAAATAAAATTCTAATTTTTTAAAGATTCTGATTTTAATAATTAATTAACTGCTCACCTATTTAAATAAGCTCTCTCCCTCGCAATAGAGGCAAAATCGCTAATCCAACGTACTGAGCGCCAAAATTTATCCAAATTTTTTTGAAATTGTCCAAGAATTTTTAATTGTTCTGAATATAAAAATGCTGTAGTTTGGTCTAAACAAGCACGTTGTTCATATTGTAATAATATTAAAAAGTGATCCAAAAATACAGAAAGGTGACAATAAGTTGATAAAAGTTTTGGTTGGTATGCGAACATGTTAACTTTAATTTTAATTAAATTATTCTGATATTTTTACAATTTGTAATTCTGATTTTTCATTTATTTTTATTATGATATTCTGATTTTTATTTAATTACAATTGTAATTCTGGTAATTAATTCTGATTCCCTTTTAAACAATAATTCTGATTTTTAATAATTTTTAAACAAAAATTCTGGTTTTAAAAAATCAGAATAAATAATTCTGATTTTTTTATTCTGATTTAAATACAATTATAATTTTGTTTTATTCTGATTTAATAATTCTGGTTTTACTTTTATTACTAAACTATAATTCTGATTTATTACTACAATTTGTAATTCTGGTAATAATTCTGATTTTAATTCTGTTTTATAACGACATGTTTAATTCCGAATAAAATTACAATTTGTAATTCTGATTTAATTTCTGATTTATTTATTACAATTTGTAATTCTGGTAACTAATAATTCTGGTTTTAATTTTGTTTTGTGACAGCATGTTTAATTCTGATTTAATTACAATTTGTAATTCTGATTTGATTTCCCATTTATTTAATTACAATTTGTAATTCTGGTAATTAATAATTCTGGTTTTAATTTTATTCTATTCTGAATAAAATTACAATTTGTAATTCTGATTTATTTTTTATTTAATAATTCTGGTTTTGCTTATTTTTCTTTTTTTTTCTATAATATTCCCATTTTAACAATTACTCTCCTACCTATTTGAAAAACAGAAACAGGCATAGACAAACATCCTCTAAATTGTTGCTGTTGTAGAGGAGAACAATTATTTATATTTTCATTTTTTAAATTTGACAAATTATTTGTCCAATTATTATTTCCATTATTTAAATTTATTCCTCTAATAGGTGTTGACGAATAATTATTTATTATTGGACAAACTTCTTCAGGTCTAGGCATTGCTAATATTAACAAAACTTGATTGTTTAGGCGAACTAGACGGTGGAAGAATATTCTGGTTGTTGATATTTGGTTTTTATTTAAATCCAAGTCGATTGTTAACTTGAAAAAAATTTTTATTGGACAGTCTAGCCTCTTTAGTATTAAAAATTGTTTCCTATAACGAGGGGTATCTTAAATGGAGGATATCTCTCAGGCAGCTCCTCAAAAGTCGGATAGCCATTGGAATTCGAAATATGACCGAGTCCCTCATTATAAGTACCTTCTTGGAAATTAAAAAAATAGTCTCTTATAATGGGGGTACGTAGAATAGAGGATATCTTATAACGAGGGGTATCTTAAATAGAGGATATCGCTCAGGCAGCTCCTCAAAAGTTCGGATAGCCACTTTAATTCGAAATATGACTGTGTCAGACCTCATTATAAGTACCTTCTTGGAAATTAAAAAAGTCTTATAATGAGCGTACGTAGAATAGAGGATATCTTATAACAAGGTAACGAAGACTACGTTGAATAGAGATTATAACCCCGACAACTCCAACCCAATGGCCAACCATTTTTAAAAAAAAACCCGTCTATTAAATAGAGGTGTAGCTAATATTGGGGGTACTTAAAAAAGAGGTTCGAAAAAGAGGAAAAAGAGGTCTATTAAAATTATTTTTAAATTAAAGAAGAAAAAACATTTTTGGCAGCACTAGCTAATTGTTTCTGAAAATTAATTTGTTCTTCATTAAATTGTTGCTGTTCTGATTTTTCTTTTTTAATAATAATTCCGTTATTACAATTTAATAATTGTAAAAACATCCATTCTTGTTGAGTTAAAAAATTATTTGATCGAATTTCTTAAAAATTTTTGAAAATTTTTTTAAAAAATCCCCCTTACTAGCAAACGGCAAAATTGAAGTAAAATTTTCTGGAATTAACACATTAACACAATTTAGTGAAGATTGTAATTTTAAATAAGCTAAATAAAGGCCAGGTTTAAGGCTAATTAAAGACGATTCATAAAAGTTGAGTATTGGAAGCATTTCGTGTTTTAATGACTAAAAATTAATAATTGTAAAACTTATTTTACAAATTGTAAAAAAAGTTTGAACTTTCAAGTTGGTTATTTTTACAAATCTAAGTTTATTTATTCTGAACAAGTTTTAAGTTGGGAGAAAGGTAAAATTGTAAAACTTTTTTTACAATTGTAAAAAGTTTAAAATAAAACTTGAAATTGTAAAACTTGTTTTTTACAATTTGTAAAAAGTTTGAAATAAAATTTGAAATTGTAAAACTTGTTTTTACAATTTGTAAAATAAATTCTGAAATTAGAAATGCTCAGAATTAAACTTGTTTTCACAATCAGAATAAATAATTTACAATTTGTAAAATTAATTTCAGAATTTATTTTAAAAATTGTAAAATTATTTAAGTTTATTTGTATAATATTATTCATATGCTATTAAACATATAATAAACATACTTCCATCACAGAACACCCTTGCCTTCTAATTAAAAATTTTGCTAAACGCATCCATCTTAAAGCTAAACCCTGAGCTGCTAACATAACATCGTTATCTTTAGAAAGGAGTAGACGAACAGTTACTAAAATATGAGTACCAGGACGGGGTTGTAAAGGGACATAATGAAGTCTGCCTATATCTTTAAAAATTATTTTTTTAATCAAAAAATATTTTTCAAAAAAAATCCCCCACCTTTAACCCCTAAAGCATTGTGCATCGCTGATGCTGCCTCTAACAGCCTTATTCTAATACTGCAATTTGCTGAAGCTGTATTACAATTTAATAGAGCATTTTGTAATTGTTTTAGTTGATTCCAACAAAGAGACAACTTTAAAGAACAAGTTAAAAATAAATAAACTTTTTTTTACAATTTGTAAAACAAAGTTTTACAATTTCAAGTTTTATTTTACTACAAAACTTGTTCAGAATTAAATAAACTTGGATTTGTAAAAATAATTATACAATCAACTTGAAATTTCAAACTTTTTACAATTTGTAAAATAAATTCTGAAAATAATTTTACAAATTGTAATTTTATTTATTCTGATTGTGAGCAAGTTTTATTATACGCATTTTCAATTTCAAAACTTTTTACAATTTGTAAAAATAATTTTACAATTCCAAGTTTTGTTTAAAACTTTTTTACAAATTGTAAACTAAGTTTTACAATTTCATTCTTTATCTTAAAACTTGTTCAGAATAAATAAACTTGAATTTGTAAAAAATACTACTATACCTTCAATAACCAATGAAATTCATCTGGATTAAGACCATTTCCCGTAAAATTTTCATCCACACAAATTACTGGAAGACAATCATCTACCTTTAAATTTTATTTTTTTATTTTTTAATATTCCAAAAAATAAAAAAATTTTTTAATTAAACACACCGTGCAAAGAATTCTTCCATTTTCAGTGTAAAATAAGGTTGCTAAATAAAGGCCTCTAGAAAAAATAATTTTTTTAATTTAAAAAAATGATTTTTCTGTTCACCTCTGTACATTTTTAACTAATTTAGCCCCAGCAGAGAATAATTGTCTTAAACCAGCAGTTGTATTATTCCCATTAATATTCCCATTTTTGTTTCGTTTATTGAAAGCATTTGAGGTTGATGGAAATACTTTGGGAAATACAAATTACAATTAATTTTTATATTTTTAATATTACAATTCTGCCAGTCACTTCCAAGTTTGTGAATTTCAACTTTTTCTAATAAATCGGTTAATTCTGAAAATTATAAAATAAACTTTTTACAAATTGTAAAATAAGTTTTACAATTATCAGAGTAAATAAATAAACTTTTTACAAATTGTAAAACATAAGTTTTACAATTATCAGAATAAAAAATAAACTTTTTACAAATTGTAAAACATAAGTTTTACAATTATCAGAATAAATAAATAAACTTTTTACAAATTGTAAAAACAAGTTTTACAATTATCAGAATTTTTTAGAACTTTCTTATTCTGATATATATTTTTATTCTGATTTGTAAAACTTAATTCGTAATTGTAAATATTCTGAAAAATAAAATCAGAATTTTATTTATAAATTCTGAAATTTCAGAATATTTATTAATTTTTATTTTTCTGTGTACTATAATTCCCCCATTTATTTACCTTTAGGATCTAGCCATCCAGTAATTTTAGATTCATTTTCATCATTCCTTTCCTTATTTTCTTCTAATAATTTTTCAGAATCTTCTTCACTAAAATTATTTGTTTTTTCTTCTTTAATTGAGTTAACGGCAAATTTATGAGCTTTGGAAGAATAAATTTCTTTCTGTAATTGTTGGTAAGGTGAAGGCATTTGAAGAAATGATTCTAGGGAAGGAAAAAAATTTTTTTCAGAAAAAAAAATCAGAAAAAAATTTTCAGAAAAAATCAGAATTATTTTTTAAATCAGAATTAAATCAGAAAATCCCTACCAAATTCACTATTAGACTCTTCCACTTCACCCTCCTCAAAATTGTTTAAAGTCTGAGGAGAAGGCGAAATTGGTGCTGGGTATATTGTAGACGGAGCACTGTTTCGATGTTGTGATTGTCGTAAGAGTTCGTGGCGAGGACGACGACTGGATTCGCATCTTAAAAATTGAGGGAGAAAATAAGTAAAAAATTCTGATTTAAAAATAAAAATCAGAATTTGTAAACTTTTTACAAATCAGAAACTGTTTAATTAAAAATAAATTACAAATCAGAAAATAAACTTTTTCGAGCATTATTGTAATCATAATTATACATACCAGGGATGTCACGGGTTACCCGAAACCCGATACCCGAAACCCGAAACCCAGCCTTTTTTTCGACCCGATACCCGAAACCCGATCCGAGAAATTTTCTAAAACCCGACCCGAAACCCGACCCGAGAATTTTAATTTTTCAAAACCCGACCCGAAACCCGACCCGAGTTTTCTCAAAATTTTCGCCCGCGTCGCAGAAAAAGGTAAGATTTTTAGCTTAATGATCTTCCAAAATTCTGAAAATTTTCGCCTGCGGCGCTGAAAAAGGAAGAAATCTGGCTTTGGACCTTCAAGAATTCTCAAAATTTTCGCCTGCGGCGCTGAGAAGGGAAGATTTTTGGCTTTTTGGCCTTCCAAAATTCTCAAAATTTTGGCTTTTTTCGACCCGAAACCCGAAACCCGATCCGAAGAAAATTTTGAAAACCCGATCCGAAACCCGACCCGACTTTTTGCTCAACCCGAAACCCGAAACCCGATCCGAGAAAAATTTTGGAAACCCGACCCGAAACCCGACCCGACATTTTTCTCAACCCGTGACATCCCTGATACATACTTTACAATTTCTAAGTTTATTTATTCTTAACAAGTTTTAAAATAAATAAACTTGGAATTGTAAAACTTGTTTTACAATTCCAAGTTTAATAATTTTATTAAAATCAGAATATTAAATAAACAATTGTAATCAAAATATAAGATTTTTACAAATCAGAATTTTAGAAATCAGAATTACACAAATCAGAATTTCAAAATTCTGAATTTTACAAATCAGAATATCAAAAATCAGAATTTCAAAAATCAGAATTTTACAAAAATCAGAATTTTTACAAATCAGAATTTTAAAAATTAGAATTATACAAATCAGAATATCAAAAATCAGAATTTTTACAAATCAGAAATTCACATATCAGAATTTTACAAAAATCAGAATATTTAATTAAATTAAAATATCTCCCTCACCTCGTTAAAGGAGGACGGTCTTTCATTTTATTAGGAGAACAACCCCCACCACCACTGTTTTGCCTCAACAATGCAGCCGTTTTTGCTAATGCTCCCATTCTTCTTCTGGTAGTTCTCCGTCTATGAGCGCTTTGTACATCCCTTCTTAACCGGACAATAAATAAAATTGCGCGGATTAAATGTCTGCCACGTTTTGCTGTCATCTTTTTCTGAAAAATTTTCTAAGAAATTTTCAAAAAATTTTTTCAAAAATTTTTTAAAAAATTTTTTTCTCCCAAAAATTAATTTTATGGGTAAATTTATTAACAAAAAAAAATTTTTTTTGGAAAAACAAGTAAACAAAAAATGGACTAAAAATAAATTACTACTTGGAATGGACTAATAAATAAATAAATAACATATGTATGTATAAGATCCCCCTTATCTCCCCATAATTTTTCCTAAAAAGCACTAAAAATCCTGTAATTTTCCAAGTAATTTTTTCAACACATCTACTCTCTAGCTTACTCATTCAATTCCCCTTTCCCCCCAATTTCCCCTAGTTTCCCCTATTTTAGGCAATGTCAATTCCCACGCATTAATATTCAAATCCTCCTCAAACTTCACTTTAAATGAACATCAAAAAAGTGTGAAGAGATTTTTTTGAAGAAGCTTTGACAGGAAATGCTTTTACTGAAAAAAAACAATTGAATTTATTAAAGAAGAAAAAAATGAGTTTTATTTTAGTAAACGTCAGAAAAGTAAAAAATAAATGTCAGAATTAATAATTATAGTAGAAAATGATACAAAACAGATGAAGTTATATTTGTAAAATAAAATTAATTATTTAATAGGCATATTGAAAAACACAACATTTTTGGGAAAAATAACTAATATACCTTTGGTGTGCGCAAAAGTATGGAGGACGCAAAATACTTGCTAAATACTAGAGATCGGTATTTTCAAAAATCCTGGAGCTGGATTCTGGATTTAGGTTAGTAACCTGGACAGGATTCTGGATCTGCATCCAGGAAAAATCCAGACTGGATCAAAATCCAGACCGATCTCTACTAAATACCAGAAAAATATGCCGGACTTAATTTTAAAAACAAAAGGCGAAACGCGAAACACTAAAAAAGGCGAAATTCGGCGAAAAACGAAACTGGCTAAATAAAAAAAATTTAGACACAAAAGAAGAAATCAGAATTACAATTTGTAATTATTTTCACAAATATTAGATACCCACAATTATTCTGATTTTTTCCCCTACCCAAAACCTGACGAAATTATTTAACCAAAAAATTACATTTAATTTAAAAAAAAATTTTTTATTTAATAATTTTTCGTGAATCAATCTGTGAAAGATATGTTTTTCTAATATCCATACTCTCTACTTGTTTGTCTGTTCGATTAAAAGCAGTCCAAACCGGATCGCCTTTGAATAGGCGAATAACGTGTATAAAATCCTGTAATAAATTTTAAAAATTAATAACTTTTTTTCTATTGAAGATAAAAATTAGATTTTTATATCGTTAAATAGAGGAGAGTCTGGGCTATAAATCAGTCAAAAAATGGAGAGAAAATATTAAGTTTGAAAATTGTTATGAATTTTTAAACAAGCTTAGGTCGCCTTTTGAAGGAAAAACTAAGGGTCATTTCGGCGCAATTAAATTTTGGCGTCAAGTTAATTTTTTACTTTTTTCTCGAAATTTCAACTTACATCCTTTGTAAGAGTAAAACGATGGAATATCCCAGCTGGAAGAATTAGAAGATCTCCAGGCTCGCAAAGTATTCTAATCCATTTCTCGTCTTTATTGCGCACATCAAAGTACCCATAACCATCTATAATGTAGCGAATTTCATCCTGCAAGGGAAAAAATTAATTTTATTTGAACGAAATAGAGGCAAATGATTTTCTTATAATTTCGAGAATAATTTCCAAAAAATGCGAAATTTAGTTTTTTCCCGAAATTTCGCTTTTTATTGAAATTTCGTTTTTTCGAAATTTCGTTTTTCTCGAAATTTCGTATTTTCTCGAAATTTCGTTTTTTTCGAAATTTCGTATTTTCTCGAAATTTTGTTTTTTTAATATTTCTAATTTCCCAAAATTTTTTTGATTTTTTTTCTGAATTATTTTTACTTTTTACTACATAATTAAAAAAATAATTTTTTTAAATTTACATCCAAATGTAAATGTTCCTCAAAAAATCGTTTGACACAATTTTCATAATTTTGAAGCAATTTATCACGAGAAACAATAATTTCATCTTTATAATTATACCCCCTTTTAATTGATATTTCCTCAATTTCATTATTATTGTTTGTTGGGACACAAAAATATTCAACACCAATATTAGCCAATTCATCGAGGGTTAGGTAGACAGGCGGGTTTTGATGACATTCTTCCCGTTGATCAATTATTGTGTCATTTAAAAGCCAACATTTAACCATTTTTTTAAAATTTAATTTAAAATGAATAAAATTTTAATTTTTAAAATTTATTTAATTTTTTAAGACTTTGATTAAATAAATGCACTTTTAAAAGTAAAAAAAAAAGAATTAATTTTAATGCGCGTCTGTCTGTTGTGTTTAAACGAGGAAGTAAATTTTTGCAGGATAAAACACAAAACAAGTTTTAAAGATAAAAGTTGAATTGTTTAGGTTTTACAATTTGTAAAAGGAAAAGTTTTTAAATGTTGAAACTTTTTTACAATTGTAAAACTTAATAATATTTTAAAATAAACTTAAAATAATTAAACTTGGAACAAGTGTTTTACAATTGTAAAAATAGGTAAATTTTAACACTCCCCCAAAACTTGTTTTACAATTTAATTTTAAAGTTGCAACTTTTTTTACAATTGTAAAACTTAATAATATTTTAAAATAAACCTGAAATAAATAAACTTGGATTTACAATTTAAACATTAATTTTTACAATTGTAAAAACTTATTCCACTAAAACTTATTTAAAACATATTTAAAAAGTTTTACAATTCTAAAGTTTTTACAATTTGTAAAAATAAATATTATAATTAAATAAACCTGAATTTGTATAAAGTTTTACAATTTAATAAAACTTTTTTTACAATTTGTAAAAATAGTATAACACTAAAACTTGTTTATTTAACAAGTTTTACAATTCAAGTTTCTTTACAATAGTAAAACATAAACTTATTTTAAATAAACTTGGATTTGTTTTTAAATGTTTTTACAATTTAAATATGTTTTTACAATTATAAAAAATATTAATAATATTTAAAAAACATTAAATTACCCTTCTGTTATCTTATCTTTAATTTTCTTAAATTCTTCCCGAATTAATTACTCTAGACTGGATGGACCAATTTTTATGATTTATACACCATTCGATAGAGAATTAAATGGGCTACAAAATACATATTAAAATAAAATTTTTTATAAAAAAATAAATTTGTTTTAATTTAAAAACTAGGCATGTGTTGAATATTTTTACAATTTTTACAATTGTAAAATAATTTAAAAACAAAAATAAAATTTGTTTTTAATAAAAATATTGATCAAATAATATCAATAAATTTGCAAAAAAATATAAAATAGTAATTTATGGTCGGAGGACACTTGTTTGTTTTTTTTGTTTTTTTCTTCTCCAGTCACAAGATTAATTAATCAAGAAGAACGTTTAGGAAATATTTGCTTTTAAGAGACAAACATAAATAAAAAATGATTTTTGTTCTCAATTTTGGTTGGTTGTTGTAAATAAACAAAAATATGTATCGTAAAATTGCTACATTCACTTTCAATTAAAACACAAAAATTTTTTCATAATTTTTATTTAAAAAATAAAAATGTTTCGAATAAATGTTTTGATAATACGCTGTCTTTTGATTATGATTAGAAATAATTTGGAATGAATACAAACTAGAGATCCGTATTTTTGAAAGGCCTGGGCCTGGATTCTTAGTTTGATTTATTGACCTGGGCCGGATCCTGGGCCTGTATTTCAGGAAAAACCCAGGAAGTTCAAAAGATGCCTGGACCTGGACTCTGGGTACAGGAAAACCCAGGCCTTGGTCCAGACCCAGGCCAATCTCTAATACTAACCGAAGGACCGAAGATTTTCTATAAACCAACAAATTGGAAAGGTTACTCCGATTCGGATAAACAATAAGCCATTCGAAGAAGCTTTTCGAGGGGAGTCGAATGGTATCAAAATCTATTTAGATAGAGTTATGTGTTAAAAATAAGCTATTACCCCGTTTTAGAGTAGGCAAGACGGGGAATTTTTACCAGAAATATCCACAGATTTTTTATTTTTTCTCAAATTTTTAGATATTTATTTTGAATTAAAAAGACTATCAAAAATCTACAGTTTGTTAGAAAAGTAGCTTTAATGATCTCCTTTTCTATTTTTAATTTTTTGTTAATTATTAGCGCAAGTTTTTTGGTTAAGGCTAGTATAAAGCCTTCTCCTCCTTTTGAAAATACTCTTAATGATGATCTTATTGAAGAGGAAGATAATGTTTTGGTTTTGACAAAGGTTTTCTTTAGAATTTTGAGTTTTATATCGTATAACCTTGTATTAATTGCTCTCCCTTAAATAATTAACCCACTTGCCCTTGAACTCTCTCTAGCGATAGGGGTCTCAACGGAACCGATATTTTGACCAAAACCGGATACAATTTGAGTTCCGGATCCCGAAACTGGAACCAAAAAAAACATCGGAACTTTCCGGAACCGGAACTTCCGACGAAACTCTAAAAATTACCTCCCCTTCCCCAATCAAAAATGTCTTAACACAGGTCCCTTGATTAATTACTCGCAATCAGCAGGAGGGTCGAAAAATAATTATTACCCAGAAAATTTATTCAAGCAACTTTTTAAGGTAATATCCATTTACTTTTTAGGATAATTTCAAATCTGCCATTGAAAACAACACTTATGTTTTTATACACTTTTATGCGCCGTGGTGTAGTTAGTAAATTTTGATTTTTTGGCTTTAAAAATTTTTAAAAATCGTTTAGGCGAATGTAAAGTTTCTGCACCTGAGTTTGCAAAGGTAGCTACTCTATTGAAGGAAGTAAAGTCGCCTATCAAGCTAGGCAAAGTTGATGCCTCAATTCATACAGAACTTGCTTCTATTTATGAAGTCTGCCGTTATCCTACAGCGAAACTCTTCATAAATGGTCTTTCATTATTATTTTATAGATACCCGGGATCGCGCAGCAAAAATTCCAGTTTTTTGGAATATCCCGACCCGAATTTTAGGGAATTTTCGGGAATCAGGTCGGCGCGATCCTTGATAGATACATTAACAGAGTTGTAAAAGTTTAGATCCTGGCAGGCACTTATCCTGTGACCTCCTGATATTTGGTGCCACGTAAAGGTGCTTTACTGACTGAGTCACCGGAGCGCTGTTCCTTCCCTTTTATTATTATACCTTAAATCCCAGCCAAGTAAGTGTTTTAAGTGTTTGCCAGTCTTTTCTTTCTTAAACCGTTGATTTTAGAAGGCATTTTGAGGCAGGGGTATATCTTGGTAATTATCCCTATTTATTCAGGCAAGGATAGCTATGATGCTGAAGGGGATTGTGATGCTGCTTCCGTTCTTGATTGGCTTAAGAAGAAGACTAAGCCTCCAGTTAAGGAAATCACTTCTATCGATGAGCTTAAAGAATTCCGGGATTCTGCAGAAATTGTCACCGTTGCTCATTTCAGTGTATGTGCCAATTTATTATATATAATAATCTTCCAAAAAAAAATTTTTTAGGATAAGGACTCGAAGGATGCCAAAGCCTATTTGAAACTTAACTCAGATTATACTCTTCCCTTTGCGGTTATTTATGATTCTGCTGTTGCTAAAGACGCTAATATCAAAGACAAAGATGTACATATATACAAGCCTGGAGGAACAGAGGAAACTTGTTCCGTTTCTTAACTTGCTAATAATTAGGCCAAATGTTTGGGCCAGCTCTAATTAACATTTTTGTCGTAGATAAACATGGAAATATAAAAATTTTGATTTAAAAATCTAAAAAATATTTATCTAATAATTACAAAAAAAATTTTATTATTTATCCAAATAAAGTGAACGTATTTTTCAACGATTTTTGACCAAATATATTTTTTTTTCTTTCGAAATGTCTTCCAATCCAATTCTCAATAAATTGTAGTCAATACTTCTTGATTAGTATATTTATTTAATTTTGTCAAATAATTTTTTCGAATTTCCATTCTTTCCGTTTTTGGGTCTTTTCTATTATGAGCTACCCATTTAGGGTCTCCTTTAAACATTCGAATTGCTTTGATATAGCCCTACAAAAAATTATTTTTTAATTCAAAAATCTTTCAAAATTGCCTTCTTTGTGACTGTAAAACGATGGAATATTCCAGCAGGGATTATTAATAAATCCCCAGGTTCTCCAAGTATTCGAATCCATCTATCCTCTGGTGTTCGGACATCAAAGAAGCCATTGCCTTCAACTACATAGCGAATTGCATCCTTCAAAAATTAATTCTATTTACTTGAGTTTAGGTACACTTTAGGGCTGAAATAACTAGTCTCTTATAATGAGGTGTTTATTAAATAGAGGGTATCGTTTGGGCAGATTTCCCCAACCAATAGACATCCTATTTTAAAAATATATCTTAAATAGATTGGGATAGATCCATATCAAGTATTGGGTCTATCTTCTACATGTTTTTAATAGTCTTAGAGGGTGGCTCCCTCACCTATAAGTCAACAAAGCCTAAAGACGCATCTATTAGAGATCGGAATTTTGTCCTGTACCAAAATACCGATATATCCCGAAAAATACAGCCGTAGTATGATACGGTCCGATCTCTAGTATCTATCTTAAATTAAATTGATTTTGTGGGTATTAAAAAAGTTGGACTATAATAAGAGCATCCTCTAATAGAACACCAAGGGTAATTTAAAAAATAATTTTCTCAACTCACTTCCGGATGAAAATGTTCTTCAAAAAAACGTTTCAACCACTCATCATAATCAGCCATCGTTTCCCTTGTAATAACAACTTCATCTTTATAATCATATCCTCTACTCATTGCAACACTAGACAATCCCTTTTCTGAATTTTCTACAGGGATCTATTTAAAGAAATAAAATTTTTTAAGAATACCCTCCTCCCTTCCAAAGCTGTTTCGAAACAAAAAATTTTAAAAGCGAAATTTCGAAACAAAAAGACGAAAATGAAAAGACGAAACTTCGAAATCGAAATTTTTCAACGATTCGCGAAATTTCGAAACCTAAAGACGAAATTGAAAAGCGAAATTTCGAAATCAAAAGACGAAAATTCGAAACATCTCGAGACATCCCCCCCCCCTTCTTTTTAAAAAAATAACATAAAAATATTGTATTCCAAGTTTGTGCAAAGCTCTAGGCCCAACAAAAACAGGCGGATTTCTATGACATTTTTCATGCTTATCAACAATTCCATCTGCCATTAACCAACACATTACCATTTTTAGAAAATAATATTTAGAATTTTTTAAAGACTAGAAAATTTTAAATAATACTAAAAATTAAATTTTCAAAATTAAAAATGGCAAAACTATGGAAAGACCTCAAAAATCTAAACAAGTTTTTTTTTATTAGGAATGCTATTTTTGGGGGGTTAAAAATGAGAGAACCAAAAAAATTAAAAAATTATTCCTAATTAATAAAGGTCCTCCACTTTTGTTTTTATATTTAAATAATTAAAAAGACTTTCTAAAAATAGTATTTAGAAAATTTAATTTTTTTATTAAATTTATGAGCAAAAATAAAATTCAAAAAAAGTCAAAAATAAAATTCCAAGTCTCACAAAAAAAAATTTTTTTTCTATGATTTATATTTAATTTCGTACCTAAATTCATCTTTCTAAAAAGAAATTTTGCTTATAAAATATTAAAAAAATTTTTTTTAATTTTAAAAATAGTATACAAAAAGCAAAGGAATTGGGGGAAGAAAAAAAAGGAAGATTGAAAAATGAAGGGAAAAAAATTTTTTCAAATCCATTTTCTTCAAAAAAAAATTTTTTCACGTTGAAAAATGAATAAATAAAATTAAACTTCCTTCTTTTTCTAGAAAAAAAATTTTTTTCTTGTGCCTAACTTAAAAAACATGTATTTTTTTTATGTAGTTTGACTTTATATATTGTTTCATTTTTTTTATGTTCCCCCTTCCCTTTTATTCTTCCTCTTCCTCACAAAGATCACTAATAAACTGATTGAAACCCGATTCTTGTTGACGGAAGGTGTCCAACTATTAGAAAAAAAAAGAATAATTTTTTTTGATAAAAAATGTTAATCCTTAAAAAAAAGAATCAAATTACACCAAGAATTTTTTAAGAAATTAACAGAAAAATATTTTTTAAAAAAATTATAATTTTAGAAAAATATTTTGAATTTGATTTCTGTTTTGATTCCTTTATAGTAAATATTTACATATTTTTTAAACTTTAAAAAATAATAATAAATAGGGTTGTTGATTTCAAACTGAACCCCAAAACCCATATAAACTTTCATTTTTTCCGTCGGTTTCGATTAACCGAAAAATTTGGTTAAACCGATTACTATATATGTATGTATAGAAGGGAAGGGATAATTAATATAAGTAGAAGGGGTGATCAGAATCAAATTTAAAAATGAAAAAGATGAAAGGCAAAAATCCGGCAAAGGAAAGGCCTTCTAAATGGGGTTGCCGTTTTCCGTGAGCCGTTGCCGTGAGCTTTTTCTGGTCAAAAATCAAAGCCCAATTCGATCTTTCAACTCGAATCGTATGTGTAAATACTAATTTTCTACTCAAAAAGTATTTTAATTAAATATTCCTTCTCCCACCTGATCTTTCAATTCAACAGCACTTTCAGATGTACACAAAGATGTCAATTTATCAGGTGCAAATCTAACTTCTTTAAAAAATTCGCTCAATTCTGTTCCCAATTCAGAATTTGACCCGTTTGTAGAAGCAAAAGCAATTACTTTAACATAAGAATTATCACTTGAACAACAACCCCCTTCCTCTCCCTCTTCTTCTTCCTCGTCCTCATCATCCTCTTCCTCCTTTTCATTATTTTCTGATTTTATATTATTTTGTTGTTGTTCATTAATTGGTGATGTTGATGTTGTTGACGTTTTTGAAGAAGAAAATTCTGAAAAATAATTTTTAAAATATACATTTGTATTTTTCTAATTTAATTTGTTGTATTTTTTATTCAAATTTTGTACTTCTGTTTTTAATAATACAATTAATTTGTATTTTTTAAATTCTGATTTTATTTATTTTTATTACAAATTCTAATTTTGTATTTTACAATTGTAATTTACAAATTCTAATATTCTGATTTGGTAAATTGTTTTTTTTTAATTCTGATATTTTCAGAATTACAATTTAGAATTCTGATTGTAAAATATATTTACAAGTTCTGACTAAAATGAAATTCCGCTATTTACAACTTTTTACAATTTGTAAATTCTGATTTTTAAAATAAGATTTACAAATTATGATTTTAATAATTCTGATTTCTATTCTTAAAAATTCTGATTTTCAATTTACAATTTGTAATTTACAAATTCTGATTTGATGTATTTTACAAATTCTGATATTTTCAGTTTTACAATTTGTAAATTCTGGTTATTAAATTTACAAATTCTGATTTTCAATACGCTCAGGTTCTGCTTTTTTTATTTAATAATTCTGATTTTCAATTTACAATTGTAATTTAGAAATTCTGATTTTATGTATTTTACAAATTCTGATATTTTCAGTTTTACAATTTGTAAATTCTGATTTTTAAATTTACAAATTCTGATTTTATATATTATTAAATTCTGTTTTTTAAATTTAATAATTCTGATTTTGCAATTGTAATTTACAAATTCTGATCTTTTAAACCTTACAATTTGTAAATTCTGATTTTGTAAATAAATTACAAATTCTGATTTTTAATAATTTATTAATTTTACTTGATGTTTGTTGTCTATTATTGTTCTCTTCTTCTTCTTTACAAGTTTCCTTAATTGTAAACGCTACAAATTCTTCTGTACATGCAGAGGAGTTTCTTCTAACATCTTCTGTTTTATTAACCAAAGTTTTATCATTATCGAGAGATATATTGCTTCCACGTGGATTAAAAGTTAAATTTGTTGTGTTTAAAGCATCTTAAAAAATTAAAATTATTAAAAATTTTTAAAAATTAAAAAAAAATTATTGAAAAAAATAGAAAAAATTTTCTAAAATCTTCTGGAAAATGTAGAAAAACTTTAAAAAAATTCAAAAAAAAAATTAAAAAAAAATTTTTTTACCATCTTCAGGAACATTTGGTAAAATTTTTAATTGATCAGAAGAACTTCTAGAATATAACAAAAGTGAAGAAAATGGAAAAGAATTGTTTCTAACACGCAACTAAAATTTTAAAAATTCCATTAAAATATTTTCAAAAAAATATTTTCTGTTTACTTTTTGGTGTGGTGTTGAATTTCTTTCAGGAAAACTATTTGAAGTTGGTGGAGATTCTGCTCTACTTCTCATTGTTGTTGTTGGATCAGATTTTGTACCAGAAGTTGTTGTTGCTACAGCACTTGGAATAGCTCCAACTGACGAAAATGAATGTCCTCCACTTCCAACAATAAATTTTGGAGAAGCACGGAATTGTAAATCCTTTGAAAAAATTTAAATAAAGAAATATTTGATAATTAAAATTTTTTTTTGATTTTGACTAATTAATATCCCGAAATTTCATAATTTGTAAAAAATAATTTAAATTACAAAATACTAATTTCGCAAATTCTGATTTTGTAATTCAATTTCGCAATTTACAAATTCTGATTTCAAGTTTAATCAACTCCTATTGTAAAATAGAAAGTCAAAATTTGTAAATTACAATTCTGGTTTCTGTTTTTACAAATTCTGATTTTTAATTTACAGATGCTGGTTTTTACTTCTGCAAATCCTGGTTTAAAGTTTACAAATTCTAATTTCTATTTTTACTCAACTCCTAGCCTTGTAATTTACAAATTCTATTTGTTTTTTATTTTCACAAATTCTGATTTTCTAATTCAAATTTAATTTCTGTAATTTTTTTCTACAATTTGTTTTCTAATTTTATAATTTACAAATCTGATTTCTATTTAATTTTATTTTTCCGCAAATTCTGATTTTCTCTCTATTTTTTTTTCTCCCACCTGACTAACAGGACTTGTGCTAAACAAATTAATATTGTCCAAAGAAGTAGGGCTAACCGGAACAATTTTACTTCCTTCATTTGGTATTGCTATTCCAATATTTGTTCTAGACTTTTCCTCCAAAATTTCTTCTTCAGGAACAAAAGGTTGTGGTTGAATTTCCATTTTTGTTCGAAAATATAATTCGACTGAAATTGCCCCAAATGGGGAAGGTAAATAGCCTAAACGTCTATATTTTGTTTCTTCTCCAAGAATTGATAAATCTGGTTCTCCATCAAATACCTTTAAATAAAAATTAAGAGAGGGAAATTTTAAAATATTTTTTAAAAATAAATTCTGATTTCTTCTGATTTTTTCAAAATTTAAAACACAGAAATTCACATTAACATTCCTTCAATCATAAAAAAATAAGTTTGGACCCAGACAACGTCCAATACAGGTCCATAACCCCAAATACAAGTTTAAACCCCCGGAACCCTGATAACTCAACCCCGAACAACCTAATAACTAACAACCCTAATAACTCATTCCACACCGCCTCTAAGGATCAGGGTTCAACCATGAGAGACAAAAAAATAAAATTAAAAAAGACTAAAAAACTTGGTAATAGTGCAGTTACCGGGCCCCCTTTTTTTCTCCCCAAGTTCTTTCCTATATAAATACATAATGGTCAGACTTTTTCTCTTCTTTCCTCCCAATGCCTTTATATATTTTGCCTACAAACAATCAAAAGGATTAATTTTTGGTATTTAAACATGAGTAGTGAGGAGAATCAAGCCTTTTGATTGACAATTGGGAGGGAAGAAGAGAAAAAGTCTGACCATTCTGTATTTATTTAGGAAGGAACTTGGGGGGAAAAAGGGGGCCCGGTAACAGCACTATTACCAAAAACTCTTACAAAATTCAAAAATATTTTTCTTACTTTATAACAAAAAATAAAAGTATCAGGTCCCTGATTGCGTACATAATGTCTGTATGCTGGAGTAAACCTTGAGGCAACAATTATTGATTTTAATAGAGTTGACATTTGTTGATATAAAGTAGTTCTGATATTTACAAATTTGTCTGCGCATTCTTTATCTAATCTGACAAGCCTTTAAAAATTAATTTGAAAAAATTTAGTAAAAATATTTTTTTAAGATTCGGTTCTTTTTTAGCCTTCACAAGAAGCAGAGAGTCCGCAAGTCATTTTAGATTGAAAATAAAAAAATAGTTTTGCAGATAAAGGTTACAAATTTTTGGCCCCACTCGAAAAAAATTCTGGTTACAGCCTGGCTAAAGTCTATTTAAATATTTGTAAAAATATAACCTCTCAATTTTATCAACAAAAAAATTTAAAAAATTTTTTTACCAAGTCTCTAAAGGTAATTTGTCTCCATCAGCCGTCAAAAGAATGAATTCCAACGAAAAAACAGAACAATCGGGTGGATAACTAAAAAAATAAGTCATTCAAAAAATTCACAAACTTTCTTCCAATAGTCGATTTCAAATAAGCAGCAACTTCCCCAATTTCATCCATAACTAAATTAAACCAAATCATTTGATCCGAAGCTTGGACACACGGAGAAGAATGCATTTTTCCCATTCGAGCTTGCACTACTGCTTGAACCATTCTTGTGCAAAAAAAGCGCATATAATTTGAAATGTCTTTCTCGTCCGAACTTCTTTAAAATTTAAAAAAAATTTAAAAAAAATTTTTTTAAATGACTTACGTCATGTTGAAAGATCTGATGAATAAATTATTCAAAAATTAAAGAAAAATTAAATTAGAAAAAAAGTCAAAGGCATACTAAGTAAAATCACAAGAAACTGAAAAATTAATCTTTAGGTCATTTGAGTATCAACTTTTCTAAAACGACATTTGGCCATGGGACAAAATGTCAAAATAAAAAATACACAAAATTGCTTGATTAAAATCGAAGCAAAATTTCTACGGTGACACACACAGATACAGGCAGAAATAACTCTTATCTTATCAGTCATGTACTTAACACAGGAAAAAGAGTCAACAGGACAAATCCGGCAGGACAAAATGTCACCCTTTTGGGACAAAGTGTCATCTCTAAATAATTTTTTCAATAACGCTCCAAATTACTTCAAAAATCCATCCATCCTATCCAGATTACTATAAACAAATCTACAGTACAATAAAAAAACTATAATTGACCTACTACACTTCAAAATAAACAAAAATAGGCGAAAGAAAAACAAAGAAAAATAGTGTGTAAAATGAAGAGATTATTTCTCTACCTGACAGACAAAAAAATAGTCTCTACTATATCTCACATCTATACAATTTATTGATTTTGTCGGGGGTTGTCTTTTCTTTTACAATTTTTCAGTATATTCTCCCCTTTACCAGCACAAACAAATGCAGCCAGTAAAGAATTTTTTGAGGGGGTTTGTGGGGGACTTTCTCTTAAATGTGTGTAAAAATATTTTTTTTTCTGCTTTTTTCTTAAATAAATTTTAGTACTTTTTTTATAGAAAAATCTTTTTTTAACTAAATTTCAATAAAAAAAAGTCTAGAAAAAATAATGAGCGTCTAAAAATGGAACCTAAAAATAATCTTCATTCTCAAAACAACAGTAATACTGGCGGCCCCTTTTTGGCTAATTCTGCTGTTAGTGGAGGAGGTGGATTTTTTGATTTTTTTTAAAATTATTTTACGTTTTATTTAAAATATACAAGAGAAAATTGTTTCAGCTTTAAAAAATTTTTTGAGGGAAAAAAGTTAAAAAAAATTTTTTTGGGCATTTCGCCAAAAAAATTAATTAATTATATTACGGTAGTTTTTTTACAATTCAAACACTTTTTATAAAATTGTTTTTTTTTGTAGAGGTCGGTAAAATTGCAATCTAGGAAGGAGTCCCGCGACAGGATTTTTCTAAGCATGTTATACGGGACAGGATCCCACGGAATTAATCCTGTAAATCCCGGTAATCCCGTTTTTCGCTTAAAATTTGTAACTTCACTGTCCGGTTTAACCCGCTGTGCCGGACGGGATCCCATCCAATGTCGACTTTTATTTCTATTTCTCACCAGCAAAATCAAAAAAATAAACATTTATTTTAGCCTCAGATTCGAATAATGCCGATATATTCTCTACTTTATGCAATTTGGCAACTACAACAAATAATTCTGGATTTAATTCGCAATCTCAGTTGTTATTCCCAAATATTCAAAATGAATGGAATAATAATTCGAATAATTGGTTTGATCAGGTAGATGAGTTTTTAAATTCAAAAATATTTTTTTTTCAAGGCAAAGCTTTCATTATTTCCAATGTATGGACTTTTACAGGCAAACAACAACAATACAAAGTTAGTTTAAAAATACAGTCGAACCTCCCCTTAGGATGCCCCCAATACTCGATACCCCTTTAATTTGGGATAGGTTGGATAAATTTGGTTGGCCACTGGGTAGAGAATTTATCAGGGCGATATCTTCTATTTAAGGCAGACATGGTCATGGATACGGATATGGATACAGATAATACTAAAATGCCTGCGGATATCCGCTTGTATCCGTCGTTAATATCCTATACGGATACCAAAATCCGTATCCGTGTCCTAGTCTGATTTAGGGTACTCTAGAGGTGTACCAGTTTCGTCCTTTCACCTTTTTTTGTAGTTTCGCATTTCGTCTTTCGCTTTTTAAAATCATTTTCGAATAAACTAATTTTTAACCCTCAAGGGGGTATTTTAAAGAGGTCTGACTTCATTAAACTCGAATAAAAAAAATTTTTCCAGCGAATTCTCCCACAGCTCTATGGGGACAGACCGTAATTTGCACCATCAAACGTCAAATAATTTTATTCAATCAGCGCCTCCATTCAATCTTGTGGAGAATTTACAATCCTCTTTTGGACTGTTATACAATAATAATACAATGACTAATACAACTTTAGCGAATCCGCTTCAATCGCCTCCAGGAATTATGCAACAACACTTAATGCATCAACAATCACCGCTTAAACACGTGAGAAAAATATGAAAATAATAAAAATCAGAATTATGAAAAATACAAAGTTGTGTTTTATTAAAATACAATCAGAATAATTTTCAGAATTAAAATAAAGAAAACCAGAATTTAAAATTATTTGGAATAATCAGAATTAAAAAATACATTTAAAATTAAAATCAGAACAAGTGAAAAAATACAAGAATACTTTTAGAAATCAGAATTAAAAAATACAAAAATCAGAATAAATGTAAAATACACAAAACATTAAAAAATCAGAATACATAAAAATACAAAAATCAGAATAAATGTGAAATACATTTCGACTAAATCAGAATTAAAAAATCAGAAAAAAAATATTAAAATACAAAAATCATAATAATTGTAAAACACATTAAAACTGAATCAGAATTAACGAAAAATACAATATAACTTAAAAATCAGAACAAATAAAAATACAATAAAATACAAAAATCAGAATAAACCTGAAAATACACTAAAACTTAACTTCATAAATCAGAAACTTAAGATTACAACCTTAAAACAAAAATACACATTTATTATTATTTTTCAGAATATAAGCAATTATTCTCATTCTACTGCTAGCGATTCTGATTGTACTCCCCATTCAAACCCTCCATCTTCCAATTTAAGTCATCAATTAATTATTTCACCAACACAGCCTTCATCAATTATTGAAGACCATCAACTTAACAATCTCCATTCTTCTTCTCAAGTTGAACCTCTCGATGAATTTATGTTTGATTTACAAGATTTTGAAGAATTTTTTATGGAAACACCTTCAACTTCATACCAACAACAACAACACCCTATGGATCCTTCAACTCCCTTTTCTCAACATTCTGATTGTCCAATGTCTAATAAACCGACAGATAATATTTCTACAACATGTGGAAGTTTAAACAATTCAATTTGTAATAAATTTTGTCAAGAAGAATTGGCTAATGCTGACAAAGAAGTGGATAGATTGGTGAGAAATTTTTAATAAAATGAATTCGTTTTTTTGGGGAAAAATTTTTTTGCAAATTTTTTTGAAACGATATAAGACAAGCCTATCATTTTTTAACCCCAAAAATTAGCTTGGTCCTTGTATGGCTTTTTAAATTTTGAGGGGTTTGGAGAATATATCTTGACCTAAAAGAATTTCTGCTCGGCCCAGAGTCATTTTGCAAAAAAAACGGACATTACTTTACAACAGGGCTCTCATTCGTGCTTTATTTGAAAGTATTATACTTTGAAACCGACCTCCATACTTAAGAAATTGAATTTATACTTTATTGAAAGTATATACTTTAAAATCAACATTTTGGATTGAAAATGAAATTGGGGAAGGGATTGGGCAAAAAAGTGAATTTTTTAGCCTTGGGCCTTCTAAAATTTCAAAAAATTTTCGCCTGCGGCGCTGAAAAAGAAAGAAATCTGGCTTCTTGGGCTCCAAATTTCAAAAAATTTTCGACTGCGGTGCTGAAAAAGTGAATTTTTTTGCCTACGGCCTTCTAAAATTTCAAAAAATTTTCGCCTGCGGCGCTGAAAATGGACGAAAGTAATTTGCTTGAGGTTAAGACTGTCAGGGCTTTATTTCTTGTATCAGCGAATTTCGACATGTCATGCGTTGAAATGCACAAAATGCTCAGTGGAAGCAAGAAATTATTAGAAAAGATTCATTTAAGAGAGAAATATAAAAGATTTGAGCACGAACAAATATTTTCCAATTTAATTTTGAGTATACTTTAAATTTGGAAATTTTCTCCCTATATACTTTTTTATCAAGATTTTGATACTTTTGAGTGGCATTTTGTCGATGAGAGCCCTGCTTTACAACATGTCGGGGGTCTTCTATCGAATGCTACCAAAAATTTATCAAAGTCGCAGTCACATTAAACGATGATTTCTTGTTAGAAGTTTGACGAATCTAATGATAACATATAAATCAACCTTATTTTTTTAACGGGGCCCTTGACTAAACTACAATCAAAGGATGCAAACTTAAATTAAAATTAAATTTTGTGAAATTAGTCAAAAAAAACTTTTCTTTGTTTCCAGGTTTCAATGGTTGCCCACAAAAATAATATACAAAAGGATAGAGAAGCTATTACAACTACAAACAATTCTTCTGGCTTTCACCAGCACAGTATTGCTTCTTTATTTAGTTTAAATTGTTCTCCATCGACTAGCTCTTCTGTTTTACCTCAAATTCCAAAAACTGAAGCTTCATTGGAAATGCCTCATGTATTTTTTTAATTTATTTATTTTAAGGGAGTAGAAGGGTTCCAACCGCATACCATTTAACACGGGCACTAGAGGGAGTGGAGGTGTTTAGGAGGTATTAAAAAGGGGAATCAGATCAGCATCCTGATAGCTCCTCATTAGTTAGGAGAACGTTTGTACCATTGATGGACCGGGTTACTCGGAACCCGACGTTTTTTTCGACTCGAAAACTGATCCGAAACCCGACCCAACTTTTTTCTCAATCCGGCCCATCCCTGGCCTTTACTGCCAAGAGGTTACCGGATCAATGCCTACCTGGGGCTAACTACTCTCTTTATTCTCGTTCCAATTTTCTCTCAAATTTTTTTCCAGTTTACGCCTCCTGATTCACCCTCTCCAACATCTACAACAATTGCCTTTGATGACCATTCAACTTTTAATTCTTCCCTAAACAACACCAACCAACATACTCCTCAACAATTAACAACAACTTCAACTCCCTCTAATAATCAACACAAACAACATTTTGGAAATTCACGTCACAGTTCTTTTGGTTCGTCTACAAGTAGTAACAATGCTGCTGCTTTACCTTCTTTCAGTTCTCCCCCAAAAACAACTCTTAAAAAGTCCCCTCTCTCTTTTATTCCAACAAATTCAACACCTCAAAATCAATTAATAGATCCTTTAAAATTAAATCATTTGGCAATGTCTCGAAGTAAAAACAACGATAAACGAATTCCTATTTATAAAAGAAATAGTGCTAATACAACAACAAATATTGGAGGGGGTCGATCTTTATCATTTATTGAATCATTTATGAAAAATGAGGCTGGAACAAAGAAAGGTTTGTGAAATGGTTTTTTAATTCTGTGATTTTAAGGAAAAAAACACAAATTCAGATTTGTAATTTTTGAATATTTAGAAATTAGAAACTGCTTTTTTAGGCATTTGTTGGCTTCGGGCTTTAAAATTCTTGGCCCGTGGTTTTCAAAATTTAGCTTCGGAGCCGGGTCTCGCTCCCGGAGCCATACCCAACACTGATTATCAAGCTTTTTTTGTACTTCTTGACAGGATTTTCGATCCGGCATTGAACTGATGAACCAATAATTTTTTGGTTAGGTTCTTGGTTCCGGATATCTGAAGATTTTCAAAGAATTGACAACCTTATTTCTAAATATTTAAAATTCAAAAAATATTTTTCTGGGCAGAAAATTTTTTTGCCATTTTTTATAACTAATATAACGAATATATAATTAATATTTCTGGTCAGAAATTTTTTTTATAAATTATAATTTTGTAAATTCTTATTTAAAAAAAATATTTTTTCAGATTCTTCTCAAACAGCTGAAGACGCCTTTAATTTCGATGAAGATTTTGACGACAAAATTGATAATAATGAGCTTATTCCTCTAAAAAGTCCACAAAAGATGATACATTCACAAACAGACAAACAACGATTGGGGGAACAAGAAAAGGTTTTTTAAAGAAAAAATATTTTTAAATTTAATTTTTATTTTTTTAAGGCTAAACGAAAATATACAAAGAGAAAGGGTATTATAGAAGACTCGTACACTACAGCTACTAATAACGTCTTAAGAGAAGTGGAACATAAACAACAGCCTAAAGGTCTGTTTTTTTGATAATCTGAATTTTTATAAATTTTTTCTTTTTCAGCCAGACCTCTATTAGCCGAACAAATTAAAATGCGTAGACCTATTGGTACTTTTTTAAATTCTGAAATTGCAAAAGATGATAATGCAGCAATTTGTGAAGCTGTCCCAACGGCTGTTTGTACTTTAAAAAATGTTGAGACGAGGTAAGAAAAAAATTTTTTTTTAATTTTTTCGAAAAAAATATTTTCTATTTTTAAGTTTCGAGTCATTTTTCAAAATTAAAAAATATTTTTAATTAAAAAATTTTTTGAATTTTTTAATAATTTTCCTTGAAAAAATTTTTTAATTAAAAAAAAATTTTGAATTACAAAGATTTTTTTCCCTCAATTTTTCAAGTTGTTTAAATAACGACACAGATTTCAAACCTTTACCAAAATTAGTTATTCGAATTTTACGTCGAACAGAATCTTCAACAACAACAACAGAACTTCCTCCTCTATTACCTACACCAACAGAATTAAATGAAGTTAACAATAATTTTCAACAACAACAAAAACATAAAAAGAAAAAGCATAAAAAGAATAAAAAAGAAAAAGATGTTGATTGGACAGAAACTGATGAATGTTTAAAATCTATTAGTAAAAAGAATAAAAAACATAGAGAGCATCACAAGTCAAAAAGAAGAGATTCTAAAGGATCTATTGGGTAAATATTAAATTAATTTTTTGAAATTGTTCAAAATTAGGGTTGTTTTTGGGTACTGAAGAGAACCGAAAATTCTCAAGTTCTTCAGTTCAGTTTCTAATTTATTTTTTTTTTCGATTCTATTGTATTATTTCGGTTCTTATTCAAAACTTAATTTTTTTAAAAATATTTTCGTTTGTTGTCAATTCGAATTTAAATCGCTGAAAACACAGAAGGTCTTTATAATCGAAAATAGTAATTGGGATGACTTGATTAAACATTGAAATTAATTTTAATTTTCTTAAATATTATAGTAAACTTACTATTAATCGTTAAAAAAAATTTTTTTTGCAGTAGCCTTGACTTAAACGAAACAGAAAATAATAATAATATATCACCAGAATATACCCCAACACAACATATAAACAATAATAATCGAAGAGATTCATTTTCTCCAGAAATATATCCAGGCATTCCAACAACAACAACCTCATCAACGTCTTTACAAAAAGAAGAAGAACAAATAAATAATTTTAATGAAGATTCAACAAGTTTTTCTTCAAATTTTTGTGAACGTTTAAATTTTATTGAACGTCCAACAGAAAATCCAAAAAAGGGAACTTTTTTACTAGCTAAAGAAGATTTATTTAAATTGGAAGAAAATAGTGTAGCATTGTGGAGAATTGATAATCAAAATTTGTTACAAAAATATATACCTTTTGTTGTGGAAGAAGAGGGGGAATATAAAGGAGAAATACATTACAAAAATAGTCAAACGGTGAGGGAGAATTTTTTTATTTTTAATTCTGATTTTTTCGAAATTATTCTGATTTTTCGAGATTCTTATTTTTCGAAATTCTGATTTTAAAATTGTGATTCTTGGAATGCTGATTTTTTAGAATTCTGATTTTTCAAAATTCTGATTTTTAGAAATTCTGATTTCGGAATTCTGGTTTTTCAAAATTCTGATTTTTCGAAATTCTGATTTTTTAATATTCTGATTTTTGTATTTTTACAAATTCTGATTTAAAAAATCATAATTTCCAATATTACAAAAATATTCAAATATGTACATAGTGCTAATTAAAATAATATTTCTTATTTTCAGTATTCTGGATGGAGCCCAGATTTTGTTGATTATCACATTGTTGTTAGAGGTGAACAAGAAATTTTTTAATTTTTTACAAAAATTTTTTTAAATTTATTTTTTTAGTTGAATATATAAAGAAAAGTCGTTCTGATAATATTGTTCGACCTTTGCTTCCATTACAAGATTTATTTCCTGTTGTTTGTTCAACTATAAATGGGGCAGAGGGTAAATTTATGAAAAAATATTTTAAAAATTAAAAAAAATTTTTTAGATAAAAGTATTGTTAAAATTTCACATCCTGAACCTTTAAGACATAAATTTAATGTTAAAGAAACCCAATTAATTGAACATTTAAAAGTTTTTGTTGAAATTATGCTTAAACATGCTATAACACTGCAATTTGTACAAAATATTAGAGAGAATAATGGTAAAATTCTGATTTTATTTAAAGTAAAATTCTGATTTTATTTTTAAATTTAAATTCTGATTTTCTAAGTGAAATTCTGATTTTTTTTATTTTTTGATAATTCTGATTTTTATTTTCTTTTTTAATTTAAATTCTGATTTCCTAAGTGAAATTCTGATTAATTCTGATTTTTATTTTTCTATAATTCTGATTTTTTCTTTTTTGATATTTCTGATTTTTATTTTCTTTTAGAATTTAAATTCTGATTTTTTTTAAATTAAAATTCTGATTAATAAACCTATCAAGTTTTAATAGTTCTGATTTTTACGTTGTGTTTTTCCTTTTAATTCTGATTTTTATTACAATCAGAATTTTTTAAAAAATCAGAATTATTAAAACTTGACAAGTTTGTAATTGTAATTTGAATCAGAAATTAAATCAGAATTTCTTTATTTTTATAATAAAAATTCTGATTTTAAATAATTTAACTAAAATTCTGATTTATTTAAATTTTTAGACTGGAATTATTTATGTTCAATGACTGAAATAGAAACAAAAATAAAAAATTGTTTACAAAATATTTGTTCAGAAAATGATCGTTGGTTGCCTTCTTTTTTAGAAGCATTAAACAATTTTCCAAATATATTTTTTCTTCGGGATTTTAATGATCATAGTGATGAACAACAATCTTGTCAGGTAAAAAAATTTTTTTCTGATTAAAAAAATTTGTTCTGATTTTCGGAAAAAATTTGTTCTGATTTTTTTTTCTGAAATTCTCTTCAATTTCCCCTTCAAAAAATTTATTTTATAGGCTTGTCTACTTAAATGTCTCGATGTAAACCAAGCAATCCAACTTTATACAGAAGAGGTTTACGACACAGAAACAATTGTCCCAAAAATGTTAACTAATTGTGAAAATACTGTTTGCAATATTGATTTTTATTTATGCAACAAGTGTGCAGATGCAGCTCTAAAATATCATAAAATTTATCATTTGAGATATTCTATATTTAAAGCTTCAGAAATAAAGGTAGAGTGTTGTTTTTATTCAAATTAAAGAAAATAATTCTGATTTTCTATTTTTTAATTCTGATTTGTAATTTTAATTTTTAATTCTGACTTTTAATTCTTGTGTGTTTCTATTTTGTGATTCTGATTTTCTATTATCAATTCTGATTTGTAATTATGATTTTTCTGTTTTTAATTCTGATTTGTAATTTTAATTTTTATTTCTGTTTTTAATTCTTGTGTGTTTCTATTTTGTAATTCTGATTTTCTATTATTAATTCTGATTTGTAATTATGATTTTTCTGTTTTTAATTCTGATTTGTAATTTTAATTTTTATTTCTGTTTTTAATTCTTGTGTGTTTCTATTTTGTAATTCTGATTTTCTATTATTAATTCTGATTTGTAATTATGATTTTTCTGTTTTTAATTCTGATTTGTAATTTTAATTTTTATTTCTGTTTTTAATTCTGGTGTGTTTCTATTTTGTAATTCTGATTTTCTATTATTAATTCTGATTTGTAATTTTAATTCTTCTGATTTTTAATTCTGAATTGTAATTCTGAATTTCTATTCTGTAATTCTGTTTTGTAATTTTTATTTTTCTGATTTTTAATTCTGGTTTTAATTCTGTGTATTCTGATTTTCTATTTTGTAATTCTAAGTGGTAATTCTGATTTTTTTAAATTTTATTCTGATTGTTATTATTTTCTTTTTCTGATTTTTATATTTTTTTCAGTTGGAATTAACAAGTACAGAGAATCCAGAATATTCTGTTGAACAAGTAATTGAGCAATGCAAAAATGATACTGAATGGGTTGAAAATGTAAATAATTTATATTTTAATTATTATTAAAAAATCAAAAAATTATTATTTCTGATTCTTTCCCCATTAAAATTTAAAATTTTTTTTTATTTTTCAGCTTTGCATTGAAGGTGCTAATGTTATTTTATCAGAATAAATAAAATATATTGTGCCATTTTTAATATGAAAATAAAAAAAGGAAATGCGGGTATATTCAACAAAAAAAAATTTATTTTTAAACACTGCCTAAAAACAAATAATGTTGAAAATTTAAATTAAAAAAAATTTTTTTGACCGGTTAAGACTTAAAATTTAAAAGAGAGAAAAATTTATTTTTCAATGACCAATGGGTTTTCTCAAAATTTTTATTAAAATTCCGATCTTTTACAACAACAACAAAATTTCTCTCTTAAGTTCTCTCTTGAAAAGTCTTTCTTTTAATTTAAAAAGGGCAACAACAACAACTGGTCAAAACATTTGTTGATTATTTTTAACCTCTTACAGTTACTCATAAAATATATATTTTATTTTTAAAATTACTTAAAAAATTTATTTTTTCCTTTAAAAATACTTTAACTATATATACTATTGTTTTACTATTTTTATCAGAATTTTATGAATAAAATTTTTATTTATTCTTATTTGAATTTAGGAATTTTTTTTAATAAAGGACTTGGTATTTCTCAATGTTTTAAATAAATTTTAAAATTTATTTTTTCTAGGCCCTTAGCAGATCGAAAATGTAGCTTTAGCGAAAAATTACTTTCAATTTAAAAATAATCTTTTAAGCTAAAATTACTCTAAAAATACACAAAAATTCATTAAAATATTGCATGTTATGGAAGGCTTTAATTAAAATTAATTTAAAATTTTTTGCATTTTTACAGTTGAACGGCAACACTTGTGGTGGACAACAACAACAATGACCCCCTGCAGAGACGCCTGATTTTGAATGGAGCATAAGTGCAAGACCATGTCGATGCGTGGTTTAGGGGATGGAAGCCCCCTTACCCCCACATTCCACAAACTTGACTTAACTCACGGGTTTTAAACCGCAAGAGAAGCCTGGATTCGGCGCCATTCAGCGGCCCGTGCAAGAGCTACCTGGCGCCGTCTATGGCGGTTTCTTACCCTCCGAGCAGGCCAGGTTTGTCGACGCTGGAGCTTCCCTTCCAGCGGCGTCGCCTAGCCCACCTTTGGACGTTACCGCAAAGAGTGTAAACGATATTGAAAATATATTCAATCATTTAGGGAAAACACCAAATTCCCATTTAAATTAGGACGTGACCGAATAAAGCGCAAATGACGGTTGATATAATTTCAACTGTATTCATTTGGGAAGAACCAAATTCCTATGCAAATTAATTAAATATACTATGTATAACAATTTTTTCTAGTTAAAGTCAGACAGGATGAATACATTAAATATTTAAATATAGGTAGTTGTTAATTTAAAAATAAAATAAAAATTAAATTTTTTTAATTCAGTGCCATCAACATCTACAAAAATACATGAGGTACTAAATAAAAATAATTTTTAATATTAAAGCCTTCCATAATTCTGAATTTTAAAATTCAAATTAAAGTCACTTAAAAAATTTATATATTTAATTTTAATGCAATTTTCTGATTATATCCACAATATTTAATCATCAAAAATAAATTAAACAAGAAATTAATGCCTGTTGATTGCGACCAGGCGTCGTCTCCGGCGGTTTCGTGTTAACATTAAAAGCTGAAGTCGTAGGAGACGTCGTTAGGTTGCCTTCTCAGGGTCTTGCTACAACAATTATTTTTTGTTAAATATTATTTTTACAAAAATTAACTTGGCGATTAGCCTAGAAAAAAAATTGGAGGCTGAACAAGCAATGAACGACTTACACATTTTTTACAATACTGTCATTTTCTGATTTTTTCTGGTTTTTGCAATTCAGTTTTTACAACAATATTTACACTTTACAAATTCTGATTTATTTTTAAAATTTTACAATTGTAATTAATTTTAAAAAATACATTGTTCTGATTTTATAATACATATTTAAAATTCTGATTTTACTTATTAAACTTGAATTTTCCCCCTCTTCTGATAAATATTCCGAAACACACAAAAATACAGTAAAACTTTCCGGAAAGGAATAAAATAAACTTTATTAGAGCCTTTAATAAACTTATGTATTTTTTTGTATTTTCTTGTATTTTTTTTTGTATTTTTTTGTATTTTTACAAAATACATATTTCCAACTTTCTTTCACTGCACAAAACGTAAACACAATATTTTTACTTTAAATCATTTTCTGGATCAACTATCACGTTATATACAATTTTTAAACCGTTGTTACAGTAAAGTAAATCAATAAGAATTGCTGATAGACAAGTAAAGAACGTGTATTTTCGCCTTTCTATGCAGGTTTGTCTACAAGGCTAGACAGCTAGTGTGTCCTGGCAATGAAAGAAAAAGCGTTTCAAAATGGTCAATGGACAAAACGCCTATACGACAAAACGCCACAAGACAAAAATGCCCAAATTCAATAATCTCTTGTTTTTTATTGTCGGCTTTTAAATTTTTTGTCATCATTTTGTCCACTTTTGTCCTCCTGAACCTTTTAACATTTAGATATTTTATAATAAAAAAAGTAGAGAGAAAAGAGCAAAAAGAGGGCAACTTTAGAAAAAAATAAAATAAAAGTATAATATTTTTCTTCGTTCTCTCCAACGAGCTACATACACATCCAAACATACATCACTTCTCTCCGTGGTAGCTCTGATGATTTTATATATTTTTAGAAGAATATTTGGAAGGAGAGAGAGAGTTTTTAGTTGTGGGGGAGTAATTGGGGGAAAGAAAGAGGAAGAAAAAAAGGGTATAGAAGAAAGGGGAGCAGTAGCGAAAACGAGGAGAGAAAATTTCTTTTTTTAATATATTTTCTCGAAAAAATGTGTGTGTACTGCAATGAATGATGAGCACTGGTTGGTAGCGGCAAACAACTGCATTTATAATAATGTTTGTGTATACAAATTGTGTTTTGCAAGTTTACTTGTGTGTTTTTGCGAATGTTCAGATGTGTGTTTTTATATTTATTCAAACTTTCCGGAAAGAAAATACAAAAAAGAAAATACAAGAAAATACAACTTTTTCTTGCTGCAACTTTTCCGGAAAATATAGAATATATTAAACTTTTCCGGAATGTAAAATAGAATATTTAAAACTTTCCGGAAAACAAATAGAATAAAAATTCCGGAAAAACTGTCGACACTTTTTCTTCCCACAATTTTCCGGAAACAAAATAGAATATATTAAACTTTTCCGGAAAATATAGAATATATTCCGTAAATTGTGAAATATTAATTGATTATTTCTTAGATCTTTCCGGAAATTGATAGCAAGCACTTTTTCTATACTTTTCTACTGATATTTCTTATTGGACATTTTGTCTGTTGTCATTTTGTCGTTTTTATATTATGTGGCATTTTTTGATTTTTTATTTCTCAAGTCTGATCGTCTGCTTTTTTAGATTAAAAATTAAAATTTTTTTGAATATTTTTTTTGTATATTTTTTTATATTTTTAGACTTTAAATTTATACTTTATTGACCAGAAAAGTGTGCTTCTACAAAAATTTATTTAAAAGCGCCTAAAAATGACAACTAATCAATCTGGGGACACGTCACCCGGCGGAAGCAATTCCATCTCAAACTCATCTGTTAGAACGACGAGAACTAGTGAGGACGAAGAAGGACAAGTTGCTCCACATAATGCCTTTCATTTGGGTTGCTGTTCTAGTCCGGAACCTCAGGAACAAGGTTTTCATTTTAACTGAAACCTTTTAGACTAGATTTTCAATTTTTAGATGAGGAGAGTGATGGACAATGTTGCGATGAGGAAGAAGCTCTTTCTAGACTTGCTGTAGCTTCTGGATTGTAATTTAGTTTTTTGGGGTTTTAAGGGGTTAGGTTGGTATTCGGAAGGATCGATTCTTCCAGAAAACCAACCCAAGAAGGCCCATAGATCCTTTAATCTTAATCGATACAATACAGGCTGGATGAGAAGTATCCAAATGTTGGCCTGGACCGAGGAAAACTCATCTTACATCCCCAAAAAAGTTGCCGTACATCTCCCTCCCAAGTCGTAACGGATAGCTCTGAAGTGTTACCCAAACTTAAGGCCTGAACCGAAAACGGCAATCCTATTCTTAAGCGTTTTTAGTCTCTCCAAGTCTACTCTTTCTAAACAAAACTTAAAGGTTTAGGCGTGATCCATCTGTCGGCGTCCAAACTGAATACAACGATGAATTTCCTCCTCTAAGATTCCTTCGCGCTTTAGGCGAAGATCCTTCAGGATTTATTCAACAGCAACAGGCATTTTACTTTACTGGCAGCTCAGATGTTGTGCCTGCCTCATTATTACATCTTCAACAACCTTCTCAACAAAATAATAATAATAATCATCCTCTTCCTTCTCAACTGCCAATACCTACACTCTCTGCTGCAGCAAACCAGCAAACGACAAATACTGCTTCAAATACTGCGATAAATGCGGCATCAGCTGCGTCTGTGACGATGGACGCGAGTTCAAGTTGTTCAGATGGAACGTTACAACTAGTAATCCAAAATTTTCGTCACATGTCTGATACTGTAAGAGGGCCGTGCAAATATATACAGACAGTGCCTTGGTTTGCTTATTGGTTTTTTAAAGTTTTTAAATTTAATTTTGAAGGCGCATTATGGTGATGCCGCGACAACATGTAGTGCAGAAGAAGGGAACTCAAAAGTGCCTTGGATTTTTTCTTCAGTGTTGTCCTGATGCATATTCTGAGTAAGTGATTTTATTTTTAAAATCTTAATTTTTGAATGGTTGTTGACAAAGAAATGGAGTTGCACCCTGACACTGTTCTTAAATGGGTAATAACACCGACTCGAGACTCCGATTGAAAAAATTTGAAACCATGTACCTCGACACACTTCCCGAGTGTTCGGGTACAACCATACATAAAAATCGCTTTGGCTTGCGACCAACAAAGCCTATTGAATAGATATAGTGCAAGACGCTCTTTATTTAAATAAGACTGAATCGAAGTTAATTATGTATTTTTTATAGATCATGGTCTTGTCAAGCATCGGCAGAGTTAAGGCTCATATCTCAAAAAGCTGGCATTCCAAATTTCATCAGGAAAACAAATCATGTTTATACCGCAAAGGAAAATGATTGGGGATATTCTTGTTTTATGACTTGGGCGGTGAGGATTTTTTGAAAAAAATAATTTTTATTTAATCTTTAAGGATATTTTGGATGAGTCTCAGGGCTATATAAAAGACGACAAAGTTACCTTAGAAGTTCAAGTCAAAGCTGATCCTCCCAAAAATATTTTGTAAAATTTTTTAAAGTTTGTCTGAAATCCCTTAAAAATTTTGTTTTCAGAACGCACTCAGAGTTTAAAAAGAAAATTCAAGATTATAAGCGATTAGCAGACTTACAATGCCAACGTGGACTAATAGACAAAGCAATTGATTGTAACACTCAAGCGTTAAAATTTTGTAAAGATAAAGACCCTCAATGCAAAATTGAATTGGAAACACAAAAAGCACATTTGATAGATATGAAGTTGAAACAATCAATTCAACGAATTGAAAAAGGTTTATTTTTAATTTTAAATCTGTTGAGGAAGTTGAGAATCTGTGTGAGAAATTCCACAGTTTGGTATTTTAATCGCTTTTGGTATTACAGGATGTTCCTGCTAGTATTTGTTGCTTAGGTTGAAGGTTTTGAATTTGCTGGGGTTTAGTAGACTAGGTTTTTGGAATCTATAATGAAAGGGTAACATATATAACTCGCGCGAATCTTACGTCAGAAAAGATACTGGGAATAGAAGAGGGAAAAGTCACGTGCGCTTTGATCTCACCTTTTGAATCTTATTTTTATGTCGCAAGACGCAAATCGGACTTTTATGTAATTACACTACAAGGGAGAAAAAGTTGTCACCATTGCAAGATTAAAAAAGGTCGGAAGTTTGAATCCTGAATGATAGCTAACTAGGCTAGAAAGAGCACTTGCTAGAAAGGGCACATTCTCTATCAAATGGGTCTGTTCTTGACCGTTTTTAGCTCGGACACCTCGCAGGCCTTCCCTAGTAAACTTGCTAAACTTTTACTAAATTCTATAAATTAATTTTTTATATTAAAAGGTGGAGATTTATCAAAAATTGACGATGATTCTACAACAAATTTAAATGCATTAAGACAAGCTATGGGTACAACAACACGTTGTAGTGGTGGTAATGCATCATCAAAAGCAACAAAAAATAAATCAACAAATACAAAAGATGCAAATACAATAACAACAAATAATTCTACAAATGTTGATAATGGAATAATTTTAGATAAAAAACAACAGGAGAAACAACAACAACGTGGTGGAACACCTCCATTTACTTCACCAAATAAAGAAGAAAAATTACAAACAACACCAAATAAAAAAATTGATAAAACATCAAAATCTGTTGAACCGAATAATGAGGAGAACAATAAAAAGAATATTTGTAAACAAGATGGAAAACAAGGAGGAGGAGGAGGAGGAACTAAAAAACGTCTTTATAAATCGGCGTCAACAAATGAATTGGGAGCTGTTGGAGCAATTTGTAAAGGTTAATAAATACTCTTTTTTAAAGTTTATTAGTAGAAAGGGACGCGTAGACGACTTGTTGGGATTTGAAATGTTAATAAGGAGGTGGTGGGATTTAGGACCTTTTAAATAAGTGAAGTAAAACCCCGATAGTTGCAGTCTATAGATTTTGACTAGAGCTAAATTTACCTCTTTACATTAACGGTACAAGGAAGACATTTATGGATTTGAAACGCCTAATAAGAAGGTGATGGGGTTTAGGACCTTTAAAAAGAGAAGTAAAAGTCGAACCCCGATAGTTGTAGTCGATAGCTTCTGACTAGAGCTAAATTAACCTCTTTATCTCTTACTTCATATTCTATATGATTATCGGTTTGGATGAGGGAGGATCGAGGAATAAAACTTTCTTTAATTTTTTGGTTCTTAAAAACTCATTTTTGCTTTTTTTAGAAGAATTTGACTTTATCAAGGACCGTTATCAAGAGGAAGAGGACCTTTTGCCTGATCAAATTAAACATTTTCTTAAACATGTAAATTAATTTAACCTTATTTTTGATTTAATTTTTTGTTTTTTAGCTTTCTGAAGGAGACAAGGACTCTAACCGTTTAAAAGAGCAAATTGCCAAACTTGAATTGATCGCTTCACCTTTCGAGAAGCCAGATCCTCTCTTGGTTTTTTCAATTTTGATTTAATTTATTTTTTTTAATTTTTCAGTTGGAAGGAATTATGAAACTTAGTCCGGAGGAGGCGGATGTAATATATTTCTTTTGTAAAAAATTCAAACAGATAATTATTATAAGATATTTGTCTGGCACTAATGTGGCCCGGTTTTGAGATGAACAGATCGCACTTTTGGTCGGGGTTTTAAAATTTCCTTTCACGTTTCGAGTGAATTCTGATAAGAAGGAGAATAAGTCCAGATTTCGGATCAGAGATGCACGAAAATTATTTGTTTCGTGTTCCTTCTTCTTCTCTTTCAGCTTTAAGGAAAATATGAATTTCCCCCCTCTTCTTTTCCTTCCTACCTATTATAGGCATTTATTTTGTCCACAAAACGAGATTTTCGTACATCTCTGTTTTGGAGAACCCCCCATCCTTTTGCTTCTTTTCCCTTCTTTCTTGGTGCTGAATGTATCTTATAATGAACTGTACTTTAAAATTGAAAACTTCTCACTTTAATTTTTATTTAAGAAATTTTTACAGAAAGCGCTTGTTAAAGCTATCACATTTTACGCACTTGAACGTGAAAATGATCGTGATCGTGGATCTATTAATGACTCAAATCAATTGGATCGTTTAGAAACTGTAATTCGAAATAAATTTTGTGAATCTTGTCTTCACGAGGGGCATTTACAAATTGGAAAACGTGAAACATCTGAATCTGGATGTCAAACTGAATTTGCTCGAAGAATTCCTAGAGAAGGTTTGTGTCTATTTTAATTTCTAAACTTCTATTTTGGATAAATATTAAAATAAGCTAGCAAGATATGGCCATAAAAATTGGCGATATACTGAAAAAAGGACCTTTTGAGATTGACCTTTTGGGTGTTTTTATTGAGTGGGAGCTCTTTCGGGGCACATTGTTTGACTGACAGCAATGTTATTTCTTGGACCAAAAATTTTTTTGTAAAAACATGCTAAAATAAATATTTGAAAAGGCGCCAAATATTGAAATAACAGTAAAATTGGCAATAATATTGAAATGTAACTCTATCTAAAATCATAATATCGAAAAACTAATTGCATATTTTTTTCGTTTCCTTTGATAAAATATGTTTAAAAAACATTTCAATTAAAATATTTAGTTGATCCAAAATATACTAAAAAACTTGTACCTCTATACATAACTTTATTTTGGAGTTAGGTCCAAAAAGGAAAGTAATTGTTAATAGTAAACCGAGCTCAACCGACAATGTTGTGTGGTACATTGCAAAATGTTTGGTTATAGGTTCGGCGTATTCCGTTTTAAGCCTTTGATCACTTTTATAATTTTGCTTTTTTTCTCTTTTTTATGGCCCTTAAAAATGATTTTAAACTACTCTAAAAATTTTAAAAAATCCCAAATTTTTGTAAAGCAATTCCTGCTGATGACGCAACACTTCGTATTATGCAACAACTTCAACAACAACAGCAACATTTACTTGGACAACATGCTACAAATGAAGAATATATAAATGCTTTAAAAACTCAAGCATTTGCTGCTGTTCAACAGCAACAACAACAACAACAAGCAGTTCAGCAGCAACAGAATCAACAACAACAACCAGTTGTTAATGTACCAACACGTAGAAAAAAGGCAGCGGCCAAAAAAGGACTGCAGCAACAACAAAAACAGCAGCAACAACAAATGGCAGAATTTCAACAAAAACAGCAAAATTTGATACAGCAACAACAACAACTTCAACAGCAATTTATTCAAGTAATATATAAATTTTATTTTTATTTTTTGATTTTGGATTTGAGGGGTTTTCTGAAGTTCTTTAAGGATTCTTCTAGCTTAAAACTAACAAGGAAACCCTTTCAAACTTTGAGTCAAAACTTTGAACTTTTTGATACCAATCGATAAAGCATCATCGATTAACTCTAGAAAATGTTCGCCTTTTTTGGTTAGGAATTTGAAACGAAAAAATTTATGGGGCTTCAAAGTCTACGAAAATTAGGATCGCTGAGACTAGCAAAAAGTTATAAAATGAGATAAATTTCTCTCCTATGACCATTTTTATTTTGGCTTTGTTTCTCTATTTTTTTTTCTTATTTATTTTCATTTAAAGGTTGCTAATGCTCGTGCAGTTCAACAGCAACAAATGGCTGATTGTACAAATCAATCAACTGTTGGTCTTGTTGATGCTATGAATTTGGATTTGAATAACCCTCAAATGGGTAGTCTTTTTGCAAATTCGAAGCCTTTGTTAAATACTTCTGGGATTGATATGAATTTGGCTGCTTTGACAAATTTGGATTTGAGCAAGGTTTAAAAATTATTTTTTATCATTTTATCACTTAAACGCCCTTTTCAGATTCAATTTTCTTCATCTGACCCAGTTACCATGTCTGAAACAAATGCTGTAAATGCTCAAGGGAATAATAATACAGTCTTTTCCCGCCAGTACATTGAAGAATGGCTTCGTTACAATACTCGTCATTTGCTAAAAGCCAATTTTGACGATAAACAACAGCAGCCATCTGTTGCTTCCTCAATTTCTGCTAGTTCAATGCCTGGAGGTTCTAATTCTGATGCGGCTATGGCATCGCTTGCAAATCAAATTTATTCTGTTGATCCGCAAGATGTAAGTTTGAGGAATTATTGGTGGGGAATGGGGGTTCTTGAGGGAATTACTTTCATATAAGATATACCCAATACCAGAACATCATGATTTAAGCTTAGGGCTGGACGTAACTGTGTATTGCGTAAATTTCGTGGTTTTTTGACTTGCGGATTGCGGCTACGGGAAATTATTTTCACTTGCGTTCAGCCCTGTTTAAGATACGTTTTTTAAGTTTGGTTGACCATGGAATGTATAAAGATGTTTAAGTTATTTTTTTCTATTTAAGATAGACCTCATAATAGACCAATATTTGTCATTTATTGGATTTGACTGTATTTCTATTAAAAAAATTTTTTCTTCAAGACATTTTAGTTATAAATTTATTTTTTTAGGTAACAGCAACACAAGCAGCATTATTCCAATTACATTGTCTTAATGCAAAAAATATACAAAATAAAGTTGATGAATTTGTTCAAACATTGGAATCACATGCTAATTTGTATTTTTTTATAAAAATTTTTGAAAATTATTTTTGTTTTCTAGTCGTGATTTACGCAATTGTATAGATCGTCTGTTAACTTTATGTGCTGATGATGAAAATTTTACTAGTGCTGATGATACAGTTTCAGTTATAAGTGTTAGTGAATGTTCTGGAAGAGGTTTTTTTAGTTAAAAAATTGAAGAAAGAAAATTTTTTCTCAAAGATTTTGATGCAAACAAAGAAGCAGCAATAATTCAAGATTATTCAGCATTGCAGCATCCTTTTATTGAAGAAGACCCACATGATTATATTTTGTTGCGTGAACTTAAACAACAAGAAATTATGCTTTCAACACGTTTAAATTCAATTTTGTATCAGTTACATCAAGCTAGGTTTGTTTTGCTAAAAAAAATTTTTTTTGATTTTATAATTTTCGAAAATTTTTATGGGTAAAAAATACTTCGCATTAGCGAAATATTTTGCATTAGCTTATAATTTTTGGGAGACAAGTTACGAATTTTGTATTTTAAAGAAGGAGATGTATTCACTTGACTGGCATTTTAGACTAGGCTTGAGTTTAAGATTTATTAAAAAACAAGGCTAAACAAGATAATTAGAGAACCTGTACGTGGTGAATGAAAAACCACTTATGTGGAATAATCTACTATTCTCTTAACTTCGATTGCTCGAACATTTCTATTTTTAAATTTATAGTAGACTTAGTTCCATGAGAAACAAATTTTTTTTAAATTTTTATATAAAAATTTATTTTAAGTATTTCTGATATTGTTGATCGAATTGAAGCAAAAGTTAAAGTTTTGGATGAAAAATTAAAAATTTCAAAGAATGAGTGTGCAACATTAAAAGCTAATGACAAAAAAATTAATGATCAATTGGCTTTAGTTCAAAAAGAATTTTCTGGGATAAATGGAAAATATGAGAAGTTAATTCAGCAATTGAAAGATCGTAAAAATGAAATTAAAAAATTGGAAAAGAAGGCTAAATCTGAAGCGTAAATTTTAATTTTTTTTTTAATTTTAAAATTTTTATATCCTTGTGATAGGCCGGAAACAATCGTGGAAAAAAAATAATTTTTTTTGAGGGGAGAGGAAAGCATGGGTGGGGGGATAGGGAAAAAGAGAGGGAGGGGGCGTTTTTGGCACGTAAGTGATGGCATTCTTCTTCCTCCCTGCAAAAAAAATTTTTTTTTACAAATTTTGAAAATAAGTTAGAGGAATGCCTAGGTGATAGCTGAATTTTAGGGAATTTTTAATTTTGAAATTTTAGGCAAATTTAAGAAAAACGGGTAAAGGGCAGAATTACTTTAGCTGTCCGTCGCACCCTATTTCTCTTATTTTCTCCCCCAATTTTTAAAAATTTTCCCGGTAAATTTGCCTGAAATTAAAATTTTGTTGCCGACATCTTATTAAAATTTTTAATTAAAATAAAAAAAATATTTTTTTTTCCTCTTTTAGTTTCATGCAAGAACGCTTAGATGAATTACAAGAACGTTTTGACGCAACAAAAAAAGAATTGTTAGCAACACAAAGACAATTAGCTGAAGAACAGTCAAAATATAAAAGAGATACACAATCTTTAGCAGATTCTAAAAAACATTTAAATGCTGAATTAAATTCAAAATATAGTGAAGTACAAAAATTGAATACAAATTTGGATGAAAAAACTACTGCATTGAAAAAACTTGAATCACAATTGGCTAATGTAAGTTTTTATGATTTTGACTGTTTTTTAATAAATTGTAATTCTGATTTTTTGGTGTAATTTTTAAATTTACAATTATTGTTTATTCTGATTTAGGTTTTGTAATAATTCTGATTTTTATAAGTTTACAATTTATTTAAATTCTGATTTTAAGAAATTGTAATAATTCTGATTTTTGTTCTTAAGTTTACAATTCTTTAACTTCTGATTTTAAATTTAATTCTGATTTTTATAAGTTTACAATTTTCTTAAGATTCTGGTTTTAGGCTTTGTATTAATTCTGATTTTTGAAATTTGTTCTATAGTTCTGATTTTAAGTTTACAATTTTATAATTTAATTCTGATTTAAGTTTTAAGTGTAAGATAATTCTGATTTTTTAGTGTAATTTTTAAGTTTTCAAGTTTACAATTTCTTAAAATTCTGATTCTCGAGTTTAAGTTAATTTTGAGTTTATAAACTTAACTTTACAATTTCTTGGGGTTTTCGTGGTCTTTCTGATTTTTTGTTTTCAAGTTTTAAGTTGTGTTATTTCTTTAAATTCTGATTTTTATTTTAAAGTAATTCTTATTTTTGAGTTGTTAAGTTTACGATTTTTTACAATTCTGATTCTTAAGTTTTCTGATTTTTTAATTTTAATTTTTTTAAATTTATTTCTTTTACTTGTAGGAACGTAAAAGCAACACTCAAACTATTTCAACTCTTACTGAGCGTGCTAAGCGTGCAGAAATTAATTTATTGGAGCATAAATTGGATGATGGTCTTCGAATATTAGAGCGTGCAAAGGATGATTGTAGTGCTCAAATTAAAGTATTGGAAGTTGATAAACAAAAACGGTACTTGAAAAATTCTTTTTTTTTCTTCAAAAATTTTTTAAAGTTCTTTACAATCTGAAATTGATGTTATTAAATGGAATATTGGAGAATGGGAAAGTAAACGTGAAGAGGTGGCCTCTCTAATTTCTCAAGCAAAAACAGAATTTGCTGCGCATATTCAAGCTGTTAAATCAGGCAAACAGTTGATGCAATTGCCTAAATTACAAGTACCTAAACCACCACCATGTCCACGTATTCATCCAATGCCTCAAGTAGTAGCAACACCTCAACAAATATCGTCTTCTGCTATTCCATCAACTCCAAATTCTTCTGCTATTCAACATCAACAATCACAACAAAATCAAGTAGTTCCTCCATCGCCGTTGTCGTTGGATCGTAAAGTAATTACTCCACCTGGAAAGACACGAACTGGAGGAGGAGATAATAATAATATTATTGTGACACCTCAACAACAATCTGGTAAATTTTTAGAAATTTTTTTTTTTTGAAAATTTCTAACATTGAAAAAAAATTTCTTTCGCTTTAGCTCAACAGCATCAATCACATTCTACTCCTCTTTCTTCAACTTCAAGTATTACATCAATGACAACTCCAGTTAAAGCTCCAGGTAAATTCATTCGCAGAAAAGGGCTAAAGAAATGTCTTGTGTTCATTTTCAGGTGCTTTGGGTACTGCTGTAGCTTTTCAATCATTATCAAGTAGTAGAGGAATTGGTTCATCATTACAACAACAATCTTTGACACAACAACAACCTCCACCACAACCACCACATTTACCTCCACCAATAGCTCCAATAGGTGTTAGACCAACAAATTATCAAAATGGAATTTCTGTTCCACCTCCACCAGTAGGACAACCACCGTCGGCTGCTGCTGTTGCACATCATAAATTTGCTACAGCTGTTGCACAACAAATTGGACAACAATTACCACCTTCTCAACAACAAGCATCTTCGCAACGACATTCACCTAAATTAGGAGCAAATACAGCAACAACACAATTTATTTTACCTTCACAATCTAATGCAGCAACAAATTTTCAACAGCAACAAAACTTTCATGCTATTAGTCAAGTAAAAAAAATTTTTTAGATAATAATAATTTTGAGAGTAGAAAGGAGGAGTCTATCGGAGAATCTTAACCATATATGTAAGAATTTGATAATAAGGCAACGTCATTCACCTAAGGCAACGTCATTCACCTAAAGAAGACCAACAAATTTTTTTTGTAACATCCCAAAGTAGGAAGGGGGAGTCTTTCGGAGAATCTTACCATAACATCCCAATGTAGCTCGATGAAATACGTACTAAATCATGCTGCAAAATTGTCTAGAAAAAGGGTGTAGGTTAGAATTTCCGGCTTCCATTTTCCGTCATTCTCCTGATTTTCAAAAATAATTTTTCTTTAATGTTTACAAAGTCCGCTGTCTGTTAATTTCCATTTTCGATACTTTAGTCTGTTCTTGAATTACATCGGGGGATCTAGGAGTACTTTAATAAATTTTTCTAAAATGTAGTAGTACACATTAATTAATTGTTGGTTTTTATAGCCTCATCAAACACTTTCTTCATCTTCATTACGTCATCAACAACCACCACCACCTACACAACAACAAGGAGGAGGCAATTTAATAGTTCGTCCATCACCATCTTTTCAATCATGGAATGGTGGTTGGAGTGATCAACTGAATCATTTAAATAATATTAGTGATATTTTTGGACAAGGACGTTCTTTTGGTCCTTTAGGAAGTGATTTTGGTGGAAATAATAATAGTAATAATACAAGTGGTGGAAGTATTGGAGGGAGTGGAGGTACTGGAGGGAATAGTGGAGTGAGTGGAGGAGGTGGAGGTGGGGGAGTTATTGGTAGTAATGTGGTAGGTGGAGGTGCTTTTCGTTCTGCAAGTGTTACAAATCAACTTCAACAACAACAAGTTAGTGGTCCAGGAATTATTTCTTCTCCTTCAAATAATACAAATAATCCTCCTCCAGCAATTGGAAGTAATAATAATACTCCAGCATCTCAACCTATTGGTAAAAAAATTTTTTTTATTTTTTGGATAGGGGAAATATCCGCTATCAGTTGAGACAACTTAGTAGTGGAGGGGAGGACGAGAGGTGGAGTAAGAGGTAGTAATGTGGTAGGTGGTGCCTTGTTTTGTGTTCGATTCATGCCTGGTAGGTAGGGTTGACAGTTTGGAACGGAATCGACAATTCTTCATTTTATTTCCCCTGTTCAGTTCTGGATATCGAATAGTTTCCAAGAATCGACAAGCCTACTTGGTTTTTGTTAAATGATTGCTAACCTCAAATTTATAGGATCTTAAAAACTAATAAAAATTACCAATAATATTTTTACAAAGGTGCTGGAAGAAATGTTCAAAATATTTCACCTTCACAATCACAACAACTTCAACAACAACAACAGCGTAATGGTTGGTCTGCATTTACAGCTGATACATGGAATCCGTCTGCTATTTCTAGTAAAAAGAAATTTTTTTATTAAATTAATAATTTCTTTTAGGACGTCAAAATTAAATTGTCTCACAACAAAATAATTTTAAAAAAAATTGAAAGGACAAAAAATGAAATTGAAATGACTGCACTTCTCTCCTCTATTTTTCTTCGTCTTTTTACAAAAAAAACACGCAACAAAAAATATGCTACAATTTTTTTTATTATTTTTGTTTATCTGAGAGATTATGTTTGAGCGCCTTTTGTGTTTTTGCATTAAAAAATAATGTTTGTTTTTTTTCAATTTGAAAGGAAGTTTGGAGTAAAAATGGGAGAAAAATATATATGTTTTAGACGTTAATAATATAGTGTGTATGTAGTTGTAGTAGAGACCTATTAAAAATATAAAACTTGGGAATCAGAATTTGTAAAAACTTGGAAATCAGAATTTGTAAAAACTATTAAGACTTGAAAGATCAGAATTTGTAAAAATCAAAACTTGAAAACAGAAATTGTAAAAAAACAAGTTTTACAAATTCTGATTTTTATGTTTTAATTTGACATCAGAATTTGTAGAAAATAAAACTTGAATTAAAATCAGAATTTGTAAAAACTAATTTGTAAAACTTGAAATCAGAAATTGTAAAAATAAGTTTTACAAATTCTGATCTTTATATTTTAATTTTCATCAGAATTTGTAAAAATATTAAAACTTGGAATCAGAATTTGTAAAAAATTAAAACTTTAAATAAAATCAGAATTTTTCTTTGGTCTCTACTCTACATACATTTATAATTATATATTATGTTTTTTTAATATTTGCTAAAAGTGCTGCCCTTTTTTTTAAAAAAGAAAAGGTTTGTTAAAAAATTGTTTTTTTGCTTTTCCTCTATTTTGCTTTTTTTACAATTTTGTGCATCACATATATTTAATTTACACCCATTTATTTTGCATCCCCTACACAATTTCCACCACAAAAACACACAAATATTTTTTTAGACTTTGTTTTTCTTTTTTTTGTTGTTTTAAAGAATTTTGTCAAATTATATGTAGTATATAAAAATTATTTTGAGGGGATTTTTTCTTAATTTTTTTAATAAAATGTTTTCTGATTTAATAAACCGAGGAAAAAAAATTTTTAAAATTTTTTTTCGTCTCTATTTACATATATTTTTTTATTATTTTACCAAGCGCTGCTACTATTATTCTCTAATTAATATCTTCTAATTAATTAAAAATTATCCAAAAATTATAAGATCCAAAAATTAATACATTTTGTCCTCATATATATTTTTCTGTATTTTGCCTTTATTTTTTTTTATTTTCTCAAATAATTAAAAACAAAAATTAAATTTTAAGTCAATTATAAAATACCACAAACTAATCAAATAATTAATTAATCTTCATTTTTATATAAGTTTAAAAAATATTTGTGAAAAATGAGAGCAAATTCTGATTATATTCTGTTAAATATTCTGATTTTTATAAAATGTTTTCTGATTTTTAATTTCTGATTTTTTAAAATTCTGATGTTTTTAAATTCTGATTTTTCTGAAAAATTCCGATTTAAAAAATTCTGATTTTTTTCTGGTTTTAAAAAATTCTGATTATTTAAAAATTCTGATTTTTCTGAAAAATTCCGATTTAAAAAATTCTGATTTTTAGAATTTCTGATTTTTTAATTTCCGATTTTTTAAAAAATTCTGATTTTTAAAATTCTGATTTTATAAATAAACATCAAGTTTTTATTCTGATTTTCCTCCTTCCCTTTTTGCTCTCATTTTCTCTTATCAGAATTGTGTTTTAATTTTCATTATTTTTCATTGCTCCTTTCAAACACTTTTTTGTGTTTTTTCTTCAATAATCATCAGATAATTTTTACCGCTTAAAAAATCTTATATATGTTGAGAAAGGTGTTGAATTGCTTATTATTATTTTTAAGGGGATTTTTTTTGTAATGAAAAAATAATCCCGTGAATAAAAGTTTGGATTTTGTTTGAAATTAATTTTTTTATTTAATTAATTTTTTTAAATTTAATTTTTTTTACAATTAGGTATATATTTATTTTTATTAATTATGGGGCAGCAATATACATATTTTTAAAAGGAAACAATAAAATCAGTCAGACCTCTCTCATACCCTCAGGGCTTATGAGTGTATATTAGGATACTTAGACCTCCATCCAATGGACATTCAACTTGTGGAAGAGTTTCTTAAATAGAGGGTTATCCAATATTAGGTAGGTATGTCATATACGGGTACAGCCCAAGTAGGCGCGCGGCCAGGTAGGCGCAAAGCCATAACTTACTTCAAGATCCCCGAATCCTACCAAATTTAGTATTAAACGCTTCCTCTCATTGAGCTAAAGAGATTGGTAACAAAATTGGTAATGGCCAGAAAGTTTCCAGCTAGTTATGGCTTTGCGCCTACCTGGCCGCGCGCCTACTTGGGCGTGTCCCGTCATATACGTGTGCCTCCCTTCATCAAGTGGCCAACCAAAATTTAAAAAGCTGGAATCTTAATTGGGGGTATATCTTGTTGTTACCTCTTATTAGAGAGGTCCGACAATTAATATCAATTTAATAAAAATAAAAAAAAATACGGGGATATGCCCTAACAAAAAAATTTTTTTTTCAAAGGAAAGCATCATTTTCAATAATTTTAAAGAACAAAAATATTCGAAAGAATGAAAAAAAATAAAAAAAAAATTAGTGAGGAAAAAATATTTTAAATTGAGATCACACAGAACGTTGACTTAGAAAAATGGGGAGAAATAAAAAATGTTTTCCGGAAAACTTTCCGGAAAGGTGGCGATAAATGGTTGTTGTATGTACTGGGCAATAGAATGAAAAGGCAGTGATTTTATAGTGTATTTATTGGGGGAAAGAAAAATATTTTTGGAAAAAAATTAAAAAAAATAATTTTTTTTAATTTTCCTAATTTTTAAAAATAGCCTAATTTGTGGGTGAATAAATCATGACAAAAATACAACAAAAAAAATTTAAAAAATAAAAATTAAAGAAGAGAGACTCAGCACCGTCATTCTCCATTTGTTTTTATTGTATTCTCTTTATTCTGGTATTTTTAAATTTTTTTAAAGTCTCAAGGTTCACACAAAAGTGAAATAGCCATCTGATTTGCGCCGCTTTCGAGCACCACCCCTTGTTGGGTTTGCGCTGTCGAAGGCAGGTTTTCTAGAAAATTTTAAATAAATTATTTTTTAGAATAAATCTATATGTACTGCTTTAACTAATTTTTTCGGTAACACAAAGTTCAACAAGTTCAAGCAGTACATGTAGATGAACAACAAAAAAAACTAATTTTGTGCAAGGAAATGTGCAAAGTTTTATGCCTCATCACACACCGGATAAAATTTGGATTTTATAGAATTTTCTTGGAATTTTATAGATTTTCAAAAATTTAAAAATTTGGGAAGGTGTGTGTCTGTGCATTCATTCTCCCTTTTCTCCCCCCTCCCTTCTCTCCTCTAAAAAATTTAAAAATAAAAAAAACTAAAAATAAACAGACATTTTAAACATAAAAAAAGATAAAGTGAAAAGATTAAAGTGTGTTATAAACAAAAAATATTGACTAGTACATGTACTGCTTGAAAAACTTTTAAAACTTAAACTGCATTATATTGCCCTCATAACAAGACTCACAATTATTTAAACTTGAAAACAAAGTTTTAAGTTTGTTATTTTTCATCAAGTTTGCAAACTTGTTTTTCCAAGTTTATTTTAAAGTTTATTTTCTCTGACATTATTTTTAAGTTTACAAACTTGTTGTTTTAAGTTTATTTTTTTCAACATTAAAATAAACTTGAAAACAAAGTTTTAGGTTTGTTATTTTTCATCAAGTTTGTAAACTTGTTTTTCCAAGTTTATTTTAAAGTTTATTTTCTCTGACATTATTTTTAAGTTTACAAACTTGTTGTTTTAAGTTTATTTTTTCCAACCTTAAAATAAACTTGAAAACAAAGTTGTTTTCCAACTTGTTTTTAAATTGTAAACTTGTTTTTGTTTAAAGTTTGTTTTGATTTATTTCAATGTTTGTGTTGTTTTTAAAAAAGTTTATTTAATGTTCGGAAGAAAATTATGTTTTGAGAATGTTTTATGTTAAACTTTTTACAAATTGTAAAATGTTAATTCCTTTGTAAAACTTAATTTAAAATTTAAAAATAAACTTAGGAATAAGAAGGGAAAAATAGGAGAGAAAAGGAAAGGAGACTTTAAAAAAAACAAAGAGAGAGAGAATGAATGAACAACACCCACCATAATTCTTTCAAAGATCCCGGTGGTGGTGATGGCTAGCATGAAAAGCAGCGGCGTGATGGGCAGCAGTTCCAACAAGACTTCCCCCACTAGTTCCTCCATACCTATTCCCGCTGTGATTTTGTCCTAGAAGCCAACTTTTGAAAGAAGCTTCCATTTTTGAGGGGGATTGAGAGACTCCTCCCTCGAACATTTCTATTGGTGATTTTCTAACTCTGTCATTAAATGAATGCCATAATTCAACAATAAGCTCTGTTGCCATAATATCACCAGCATGGGCTTGAAATTTTGAAATTTTTTGGGAAAAATATTTTTTCAAAAGTACCACTAATCATTCTCATACAGAAAACACCATCTGCACCAAGAAATTTGTGTACAAACTTTTTGACAGATTGCCGGTCTGTTGCTAAATCTGTTGCTCTGAGGTATCTTCTGACGAATTTCATATGCTAGGGAAAAAATAAACTTGAATTACAATTGTTTAAAACTTTTTAAAATTAAAGTTGGTAACTTAAAACTTGAATTAATAAAACTTGAACTAAGCGCTTAAAACTTGTATTACAATTTTTAAAACCTAAATTACAATTGTTTATAAGTTATAAAATAAAACTTTAATTTATTGCAAACTTAAAGCCTGAATAAATAAACTTGAATTACAATTGTAATAAAATACAAGTTTGCAAACTTAAAACTTGGATTGTAATTCAGGTTTAATTACAACCCAACAATATTAAAAATTGAAATATTAAATAAACTTGAATTAAAACTTGGAAAAATTAAACTTGAATTACAATTTGTTGGTCTGTAATATACCTAAGTTTGCAATATTTAAAACTTGAATTTAATAATTAAACTTGAACAAAGTTTGCAAACTTGTAATAATAAATAAACTTGAATTACAACCCAACTTAATATAATTTAAACTTAAAACTTTTACAATTCTTAAAACTTTAAGTTTACAAATCTCTTTCTATATTCCTTATTACCTGGCCAGGCATAAAAGACATGAGTATCCAATGGCACATAGAAAAGAAAGTGATCTATTGAAAATAAATTTATTTTAAATTTATTTCTAAATTAATTATGCTTACAATAGAGACCATAAAAAACCAGAACCAAAGGAAGAGAAATATTTTTTCGTTAAACATATTAATCATTAGCACACATTGCACCTTTAATTTAAACAACAACTTTCTCAAAAAATTAATTTAAAACACACCGTATGATGATGGACATTACCTAGAACCCTAACTTCAAAGTCACACATTGTTACTAAAAAATTAAAATTATTTTTAAGAAAAAAACACAGGAGAGTACCTCTAGGAAAGTTTCCACTAGTTTCCCATTCCCTGCCATGCAATAAATCTTTAAGAATGTGAAAGCCATAAAAAAGATTGTCCGTACTATTAGAATAAAAATTAAATTTTATTAAAAAATTTAAAAACCCCAAAAAAAGGTTTAAAAGGAAAATTTGGAGCACAACATTGGCCAAATAAAGCATTTTAATAAAAACGTAAAGGCAAGTCACGTAGGCGCCCCACCGCCTTCCAAGACAAAAATTGGTGGCATCAGATATCTATGATATTAATTAATTAATTAATTTAATTTTTTATTACTTCACGCTGTAATTCTAAGGTGTCCTCCATATGTCCAGAAATGGTACGGACAGTAGCGTGACGAGCGTCGACCTTAAAGAAGTTAAATTTATAATTGTAAAATAATTAAAACTTGAAATACAAATTGTAAAAGAATTAGTTCAGAATTAAAACATTTTACAAATTGTAAAAATAATATTACAACTTTTTACAATTTGTAAAAATAAATTACAACCTTTTACAAATTGTAAAAATAATTAAAACTTTTTTTACAAATTGTAATTTTAAACTTAAAACTTTTTACAACTTGTAAAAATAATATTACAACTTTTTACAAATTGTAGTTTCAGAATTAAATTTCAGAACTTTTTACAAATTGTAAAAATAATTATTTCAGAATTAAAACTTTCTTTTTAATATTTCAGAATAAGTTTATTTATAATTAATTAAATTACAAACATCCATCATCCGCGCATCACACGCCATTTGTGTTAAACTCTGAACATTGATGCCTAAATTAAAAATAAATATTAATTAAAATTATTCTAATCACCACTATGCCAATGTAACAGGCCCCGCCACATAATACAAGGAATGTAAAACATTAACGCCTCCAAGGCCAGTACAAAAGGCACCCATTGATAGTAGGAAACTTGACGGGCCCTGTACCTTGAAAATTTATGGGAGAATAAAAAAATCTTTTTTTCTTTCTAATTTTTATTTCGAAATAATTGGAAAAAAAAAATTAAAAAAAAAATATAAACTCACCGCCTGTCACCATAGTCAAGAGGAAATGCATTGGTAAGAGGTAAATAGTATGTCTAAAAAATATTTAAAAAATTAATTCTGATTTTTAATTATTTTTTAATTTAAATTCTGATTTTAAAATAAAAATATAAGAAAATAAAATACATTTTCCACCCAACAATAATTTTCTGTATATTGCTCCCAAGCGTCAGTAAACTGAGCGGGTACCCAACACTGGATGGGATAGCCTAAAAAATTAAATAAACTTGTTTTTTGATTGAATAGAGCAAAAAACAAATAAAACAAACTTACCAACATACTGTTTTGCTGATACAATTATAGCAAAGGCAAAAATAATGGCAGAAGTGTAGTGATAATTGAGTTTGTCGACTAAAATAATTTTGATTTTTTAAATTCTGATTTTTTAAAGTTTTAATTTACAAATTCTGATTTGTAAATTTGTTTAAAACTTAGATTTGTAATTCTGATTTCTAATTTCAGGTTTAATTCTAATTTAAAAATCAGAATTTGTAAATCCAAGTTTTAGATAAATTACAAATCTCGTAAAATCAGAATTTGTAATTTTAGGTTTATTTTAATTTACAAATTCTGATTTGTAATTCTGATTTTAAGTTTAAGGTTTATTTTTAATTTAAAAATCAGAATTTGTAATTTCAAGTTCAATTTACAAATTCTGGTTTTTTAATTTTACAAATTCTGATTTTTCCCACAATGTTTAAATTTAATTCTGGTTTTAACCTTTTTGTATATTTACAATTGTAATTCTGATTTTAATTTCCAAGTTTATTTTTATTTGTACATTCTGATTTTTTAATCACAATTACAAATTCTGATTTTATTATTGTATTAGGTCGGGTCATAATTAGTGTCGCTTTTTTTCGACTAAATTTTTAGGGGTGTTATTTTACAAATATCTTTTTTTCTTATTAACCAACATAAAGATCTGAATCTACTCTTCATTTTAATACCAGGTTTAGGTATATATGAGTGATATTCATAAAGTTATGATTTTTTGAACTTCGCTACCTCGTAGTGAAATTCTCAAGCATTTGCACCATGAATTATAAATTACCAAAAATGTAAACAAGAAGCAAAAAATCTTAATGATCTAGTCAATGGGATCGTTGTCTATGCTAGACAGCAAGAATAGGGTTCAGGCTTTACGTTGGAGGCCGTATGACTCCCAGAAGCAGACATGGTCGAGGAAGACGGGTGTCATTAAGAAAAACGGTCCTGCTCGGCCAGCTTAGATGAAATCCCGTTATTTCTTCTGCTGAATTATCGAGGGATATCTGCTCTATACATACAGCAACGCTTGACTGAAAAAACGCGGGCTGCGCTTAAGGAGAGTAAATCAAATGCCGCGTGTACTCACATTTCAAAAATGAAACAAACGACACGACATCACCCCCAAAAACGTTTTCTTAGAACTCAGCGTAAAATCATCCGATCTGGATGATCTAAACGGTTTTTTAAATAACATATAGGGCTTATACTAAATCCGAAATATAAAGTCTGTAAATCGTGTCAAACCCCGGAATTCGAATTTCGACTTTTTCGAAAATTTAGACCTTTTTTAATAAAAATTTGAAATTGTGCTCCACTGATAGAGCTTTTGAAGAGCTTTCGAATGACATATTACACTAACTATTATCATCACATATACCTGAGAAAATTCGATTTCCGGTGATTTCGTGAATTTTGATATTTTTGATCAGAACTCCATGAATACCTAACCAAAAATTCTGAAATACTGAGATCCTTTAGAACATAGTCTAACAAATGATTCGAAATAAAAATAAAAAAAATTTTCTGAAAACTTAATTTAAAAACTCCAAAAAATCCAAATTAAAAAAGCGACACTAATTATGACCCGACCTAATATTTTCCTCCTATACTATTCTAATTTAATTCTGGTTTTTAATCTTTTTTTATATTTACAATTGTAATTCTGATTTAAATAAGGTAATAGAAGCCATAAAAATATTTTTAATTTACCAAAATCGTCATCAACACGCGGGTGAAGGCCTTTAAAGATTGCAGCCAAGTAGTAAAGGAGCATGCCGACCGAAAGTGCCGCCTAACAGATTCAAAAGGTGAAAATGAATTAAAAATAGGATGAAATGTTGAATAATATTCATTCAAAAAAGGATATCCTCCTCCTCCCATTGATAAAAAATGTTTGTGGCAAATAAATGGACATTCGATGTATGGATGATGGAAGAAGAAAAGAGAGAAGAGAAGAGATTTTTGAGGGTGAAATAAGTAGAAAGACTATCGAGATTTTATTTTTTTTGTTTAATTTTTTTGACTAAAAAATTAAAAAAAAATTTTTTTTTAATGATAATCCTAATTATTTTCCATTCAGAATAATTAATCTTTAATTGAAAATTAAATTTTCTGACCTTCATTTAAAATTGGGAAAAAAACTAGAAAATTAAAGCAATATTTAAAATAAATTTGGACAGAACGGGAAATTACAGGGTCACCAAAAACAAGTTTTATTAAAGAATTTTTATGTTATTTTTTTATTTTTTTTTTAATTTTGATTTTTAATTATGATAAAATTCAAGTGATTTTATAATAAGTTTGTGGGGCGGATGTTTAATGTTCATTCGAAAAATTAAAAATATTTTTTTTAACTTCAAAAAAGGTAGACAACAAAAGAAAATTAAAAATAAAAAAAGCTCAATTTATTATTGAATTTAAAAAATAATTAATTAAAAAATAAAAATGAGGCCCTAGTCATTTAACGAAAAAATAAGAAAATTAATTGAAGAAATTTTGAAGAACACGCAAAAACAAAGAGTAATCTACCCCCAAAAACAACTAGTACATACTTTAAAAGGTCTCTCTCCCTTCTAAATAATTTTTATAAAAAATTAAATTTTATTTCTGTGCCGAAATATGAGCTAAAAATATATTTAAGGGGAAAAGGGAGGGGAAAGCCTCCAAGAAAAAAAAAGAAAAAAAAATTTTCCAAGAAAAAAAAATTTTTTTAAGGAGAAAATCGGGTAAGAGGGAGAGAGGAAAAAATAAAAGGGAGGAGATCTATTTAGAAATAAATAAAAAAATATATTTAGGCGCAGGAAGAACTAAAAAAAGGAGGGAGGGGATTGTCGGAGTGCTTCTTCGGCACACGCACAAAGTGGATTTGGCCGGGCGGAAAGCGAAAAAAGGACGTTGAAAGTGTCCTTTTTCTTCTCTTATTTTTTTCTTCATTCAATCGCTTCTTCTCTCGACTTGTAAAAAAGGGGGGGACTCTAAGTATATATTTTGTTGAAATGGCACAGCTCGTTTATGCGTAACACCGCCCTTTTCTCCCCCCATTAGTCCCCCCGTTATATATAAAATAGTAAAGAATTGAAAAAAAGGAAAAGCAAATGAGAAAAGAAGGGAGGGGATATGTCTCGACACATTGCGCTACTAGACTTTTTTAAAGAAATTTTCTGTTGTATAAAATAGGCTAAAAATGAAACTAAATGAACATGAAAAAAGAAAAGGCAAGAATGTGTATAAAAATGTTTTTAGTAGATGTTTTCCGGAAAAAGTTTATTTTTGTTAAAAACAAGTTTATTTTAGTAAAACAAGTTGGAAAAACAAGTTGAATATTTTTCCGGAAAAGTTTATTAAATAAAAACAAGTTTATTTTTATATATTTTCCGGAAAACATTTCTTTAACACCTTTTCAACTTTTTCCGAAAAACAAGTTTTACAAAACAAGTTTAAATAAAATATTATATATAATTAAATTGTTTTCCGGAAAATTAAATAATTTTCCGGAAAACAGGCTCCTTTATTATTTATTTTAAAGAGTTCTTAAGTTTATTTAAAATGTTTTTATTAAAAGAAAAGTTGGAATAATACAGTAACCCAACAAATTGTTTCAAAAAAGCTTATTAATTTAAGAAACATGAAGCAATATTGTATGAATAAAAATCAAAAAAAATATTTTCTTTAAAAATTAAATTAAGCTAAAAATTGTTTAAAAATATATATATTTTTGCTTCCTTTTCTTTAAGGACTTTTAACAGAAAATAATTTTCAACAAATTGAGTTTTGGCTTTTGCCGTTAAAATAAGAGTTTGTTTTGCATTAAAAATAAATAAATTTTTGCAAAGGAAAGGGTCAAAGTTGCCCATAATTTAATCAAAAAATTTTATATGTACTTTATGGAAATTGATTTTGCTGTCCCAAGAGAGGACAAATTTTATTATTATTTTCATTTTAGAGAGAGGATTGGCTACTAAATTTAAAGAAAAATCCTTCTACGAATGTCCATTTAAGCCCCATTTGAGTACCCAAAAAAATTAAATAATTACCAACCTTCTTCTGCTTTCCCAAATATCCACCACCTCCGCCTCTTGTAGTTCCTCCTAGCCTATGTTCGTTTTGTTTTAAATGTTGATGGTGACGAAGACGAGGGTCCAAAAATGGGAAACGGTCGCATTTTCTATAATGCTATAAAATTGAAATAAAAACTTGAGAAAATAAATAGAGGGAAAAACAAAAATGTTTTTCCGGAAACACGCGAAAATGTAACGAACAAAGAATTAGGGGGATGTTTTTCCGGAAAAGTTTAATTAAAAATGTTTTCAGGAATGTTTAATTTAATTTAATGCAATTTTCCGGAAACTTTTAATAAACAAATATGTTTTTCTTGAAACATAAACTTTCCGGAAAAACTAAATAGAGAAACATGTTTTCCGGAAAACTAGTATTTTAAAACAACAACAAAAACATTCCGGAAAAACTTCTAAACAATGTTTTCCGGCAAAGTTTTGTTATCAGGTTTATTGGAAAAATAAAATAAAGTTGTGGAAAACAACATAGAAAATCTAACCAAATTTTCACCGTAAAATAAACGTTAATTTTCATTTCCCGTCATTCATTTCCCGTTTTTTTCGCTTTCATTTCCTTACAGAAAAATACTAGTATATTACTTTTTTAAGGTAATAAAGTAAATAAAGATGGACATGAATAACGGGGACTCATTGCCCAATCCCTAAGGCATATTTGGTTTTATTGAATTTAAAAAAGGTAAAAGGAGGATTTATGAGGAAAATGAGACTAGGCGTTGACGAAAATAAAGAAGATATGAAATGAGAGAAACTTGACGCCAATTGAAAATGATGGAATAATAAATAATATCGTAGGAGTACTTCAAGTTTATTTAATTAAGGAAAACATAGAAAAAACAAGTTTATTTTAAAATATGTATTAAAAAAGTTTTCCGGAAATGAGATGTTTGGAAGAATAATAAATTGCTTTTAGAAGTTTTCCGGAAAACAAGCTTATTTAAATTATTTACTGGAAACATTTAAACATTCAAACAAACATTCAAACATGAATGTCTGTGAATGTTTGTTTGAATGTTTGAATGAATAATTGAGTGTTGAATGTTTCCAGTAAATAATTTAAATAAGCATGTTTTCCGGAAAATAAATTTCCGGAAAACATGTTTGTTCTATTCAATTATGAGAAGTTATATTCATTCCGGAATACCTTCCGGAAAGTTTATTTTCTCTAGCAAAACATATCTACTCTATTAAAGTTTTCCGGAAAACAAGTTTATTTAAAACATATTGGAATGTTGCGAAAGAATTATATATATAAATCAATGTTTAAAATTTGCTATTGTTTTTCCGGAAGATTGAAAATACACCGGAAACAAATTAGTAATTTGTTGTTGGAGGATTGTCTTTTATTTTTTTAAAGAGAAATTTTTTGCTTTCAGAATTTTATTTTTTTTACTTGGCCGAATCGCTAATTGCGCGTTTTGTGTTCTACAAAGGATTTTACTTATTTATTTTGCAAACAAAAATTTTTTCTATCATTTTTTGCTTGTATTAGCCTTAAAAAATGAGAAAACGGGAAGGAAATCGACCGTCACAACAAACAGATTGTGTGGCAGCGCCGCTGGCGCATAAAGTGTGGCAATGGAGCAACTAAAAATAAATATAAAAATACTTTAAGATTGAACGAAAAAAAAGAAAATTTATTTAAAATAATTTTTTGGTAAATAAATAAAGGAAAATAAAAATATAGTTAAATAAACATGTTTTTCGGAAAAGTTTAATGAAACAAATATGTTTTTCCAGAACATAAACATTCCGGAAAGTATATTAAAACAAATTTTCATGAAAAGTGAATAGGAATTTTTTAACTTATTTTTTAAAATTTTTTTAGAAAATGTTTTCCGGAAAAAAAAATTTTTTTAGAAAATGTTTTCCGGAAAAAAAATTTTTTTAGAAAATGTTTTCCGGAAATATATAAACTTTCCGGTTTCCCAGAAAATTATAGCAAAACAAACATGTTTTTCCGGAAACATTATATTATCCAGAAAATATAGAGAATAAACTTTCCGGTAAGGTTAAATAAACAACAACATGTTTTTCCGGAAATGTTTTTCCGGAAAGTTCGGATAGAATAAACATTCCTGAAAACTTTCCGGAAAACATTACTAAAAACATCAAAACAACAACAACATAAAAATACAAAACAAGTTGATTTAAAGAATAAAATGATTCAAACATTTGTGTCTATAAATAAGACGACATATATTCTTCTCTTAAATGCATAAAAATAAACAAATAAATTTAAAAAAAAAAGTAAAAAATCTCTGTAAAATAATAAATGAAGGAAAACTACTTTTTTAGCTTTTCTAGCATTCATTTATTTACTAAAAAAATTTTTTTGGCTTTGCAGTTGGCTTAATATACCTCTAAAATATTTGTGGATTAATAGGGCAAAAAAAGAAGAATCGGTTTTGGGGGACAGAGGAGGAAGGAGGGCACATATGGAAGGCTTTTTTAACTTTAAGGATGAACACAGGAAGAAGAAAAAAATTTTTTTAAAGAAACTGCACAGTTGTGTGTTTCTATAAAATAAATAAAGGAACTTTTAGCAAAAAAAGAGGACAGAAATAAATATCTAGAAAATAAATTTATAAAGAGTTTGGAGGATCAGAAAATGGATTATTGAGGTTAGTAGTTGAAGCTGAAAAAATAAATAAATAAAATAGACAGAAGAAGAAACTTTTAAAAATATTTAGAAGGGGAAAAAGAATTTAATTTAAATTAATTTAAATGTTTTTCCGGAAAAAAACAAGTTTGTTTAAAATAGTTTTCCGGAAAAACATAGTTAATAAAATGTTTCCGAAACATAGACAAAACATAATATGGACAAAACATAATATTCTTTCCGGAAAACAAGTTTATTTAAAATATGTATAATTTTCCAAAAACAAATTCATCGCAACAAATGTTGTTACGGAAGTATGTTTTCCGTAAAAACAGTTTTGCTTAAAACATTAAACATTTCCCATGAAAATAAACATAATGTTTTTCCGGAAAACAAACTAAACAAAATGTTCGTTTAAAAATAACAAAATAACAATTTCCGGAAAACAAGTTTATTTATAATTTTCCATTTTTAATTAAACTTGTTTTAATTAAACTTGTTTGGAAAACAAAGTAAAACTTAAGTTTAAAAGCTTAAAACTTGATAATAATAAACAGAACAAAATTAAATAAAGAAAAATAAATATGTAAAGCTGAAGAAGATATAAAAAAATTTTTTTAGGATAACATTTTTAAATCAATTGGGAGCGCGGCATCCCTAATATATTATTGAAGAAAAATATCCCATAGCAACAACAACTAAAAGATTATTAAAAAGAAATAAAAAGGTTGCTGGTTACTTTTAGTACTTTTTGAGGCTCTAAATTAGCTGAAAACTGGACTAAATTAAAAACAAAAATTATTTTTTATTTTTTTTATTTAGGTCATTTTTATAATTAGTTGCTTTTAAATTAGTATTAAATTTATTTTTGTCAAGTAAAAATTGAAAAAAAATTTTTTTTAAATTTTTTTAACGAGCTATTGACTACAAAAATTATTTTTCATTGTCATTATTACCCTTAAAATAAATTTATTTTATTAAAATAAAAATATTAATTATTCAATTTTTTATGGATTTACTACTACTACTCTTGTTATTAATATTATTATATGCGCAAATAATTTATTCAGAATCGGAAAGAGTCACAAAAAGAAGCAACCCCTCTTCTGAATTTATTATTCGATTTGGCAAGTTTATTAAAAAAATTGGAAATAAATTTTTTTTTTCTGAATTTTAAAGAAATTGCAAGTATGCCTATACAACAACCAATATTATTAAATGATTTAAATTTGTCAAAAAGATTGGAAACAATATGTGCATTGGCGCTAGAAAGGTCTTTAGCTAAACATCTTTTTGGGTAAGCTTAAATATTTACAAGAGAATTTACAAATTAC